CTTGGCTTTAATTGAGACTCCTGAGAGATAACATTCACTTGTAAATAGTAGAGTTTGTATGTTTGTTGAAAGAAATATTTTATGGCAGTGGTAATAGTACAACTAAGTATTAGAATAACGTGTTTTCCGGGCTTGTTTGTTAATGCTCGAACTATATTTTTTTTAAATATTTATGTTTGCAGTTTGAAATTGGATTATACAATCGAATTGAAGATAAATCATAACTTATTCGGAAAGCTTTTTCTTAGTTTTTATTACGTTTTATTTTAATTTTTAATTTTTTTGAAATTTACAATGCGTTGCAAACTTGAGACTAAGTCGATTTCGATAGTAAGGACAATGCTTTACTGTACTTAATATTTGTTTGATCGCGACGCTTGTGTATCCTGGTTGAATTTAAATTAACCAAATGCGCTATCAGCGTGTACATGTGTGTATATATGGGTGTCTTGTGGGTGTAGTGGCAGGTGTACATATGTGAGCCTCTTGCTAATGAGCTGTAACCAAAGGCAACAGAAGCGACCACAAGGCCCAAAGAACCAACAGTACATTTACAGCAAATTGAATTCAACAATAACTACAGACACGGCAGGCCTGGAACACATATATGCCGGAGAAAGCCCGCCGGCCGTCAATCACACACACACACACTGGGGAGAAGAAAGTAGAGGAGAAAGAAGGAAAAGCTCTGTCGTGAGCTGTCGCCATTGTGACTTTTATTGCAGGAGGCAGTTGCCGTTGCTGCTGCTGTTTCCACTGCAATTATCAGCTGGGGCTACAAATATGGGTGTACCTATGCCAAAGCACACAAACAAAAGCCCATTTGTACAGCCGAGGTCAAAATAATAATACCAAACCAAGTGTCCTTTTAATAGGTACACATGACTTTTTAATTTGCAAATTAAAATAAAGTAATGGATCCATATCCACTTAACGTATGTATACAATTCCTTAGTATATATACAGTTAGCACTATTATTGTGCCCGTAGCTGTAACTACTCTCTGCACGACGACAATTTGTCTTCGTTGCCGCTGGAGCAATAGAGAGCAGAGGAGAAAGGAGCAGTGGCAGGCAGCTTTAATTGCAAGGAGCAAAAAAAGCAGCCAGAACAAAAACATTGCACGATGTGCCGGCAAAAGCATCACAAAAAGCCAAATTGGCTTTTGGCTAACACCGTGGATGTGGATAGAGGCAAAAGACTAAATGCAAAGACAAAAGCCAAACTTCTTTGGGCACTTGTTTGGACACAGGGAATTTCCGAAGCTGCGGCACAATTAATCAAAGTCCGTACAGGAAATAAAACACTTTAAGTGCAGGAAAATATTTTAAACCAGGTATTTAACAATAATTAACAATTAATAATACTGAAATATTGTGATATATTATCTAATATTAATTTTTTAACTTGTCCATACACTCTTTTAATCAAAATATGTTAATTTTCGATACGATTTAACGCAATTCTGTGGACTTTTTTTATTAAAAAAATTGCAATTCTGTGGACTTTTTTTATTAAAAAAATTGTAATTTTAACGGTCACTTTATCCATGCCACAAACCACCACAGACTACAACCTCCCAGACAGTATTGTGGCTGTGCTTGCCTACGGTCACTCTGCGCAAGTTCGGTCACACTGAAAGTGAGTCAGGCGGTTTAACGTGCGGTTTTCCAGTATTTGATTTATCTCGTTTTTCATTAAAAGTCGCCGAAACACAGAAGAATATGTCGACCTTGGCCTCTCCTTTGTCCATCGCTGGCACCCGCCAGTCGGGCGCTTCGGTGCGCACACAGAACGGTGAGAAACACGAGTATTTAACAACAGCTGCGGAGCGTCTGCCGGCAGAGCACGTTTCTTGCACTGCAGGCGGTCACGCTCCGGTCGAGAAGGTTCCGGAATGTTCCGGGGCACCGGCTGCGTCATAAGATTGATGGGTCCTCCTATGCAGGCCACTGTCAATAAGAAGTCGCAGGCTCCCAATTACAAGCCCCGCAAAGTGAGGTTATGACAACTATAATTCTCTCGTTCTCCTCCAGTTATGGCTGCTCTGTCCATATCGAACATCGTGAAGAGCTCGCTGGGACCTGTGGGCCTGGACAAGATGCTGGTGGACGACATTGGCGATGTCACGGTGACCAACGATGGAGCCACCATCCTGCGCCTGCTGGAGGTGGAGCACCCCGCTGCCAAGTGAGTTTGGCAGAGTAAACCCCTCGAAAAAGACACTAATTGTATGGTTCTAAGGGTCCTGGTTGAGCTGGCTCAGCTGCAGGATGAGGAGGTCGGCGATGGCACCACTTCCGTGGTCATTCTGGCTGCCGAGCTGCTGAAGAACGCCGACGAGCTGGTCAAGCAGAAGATTCACCCCACGTCCATCATCTCTGGCTACCGTATCGCCTGCAAAGAGGCCTGCAAGTACATCTCGGAGCACTTGACCGCCCCCGTGGACGAACTCGGCCGCGATTCACTCATCAACATTGCCAAGACTTCGATGAGCTCCAAGATCATTGGCGCCGATGCCGAGTTTTTCTCCGCCATGGTCGTGGACGCCGCCCAGTCGGTGAAGATCACAGATCCCCGCGGCCAGACCGCCTACTCGATCAAGGCCATCAATGTGCTGAAGGCCCACGGCAAGTCTGCTCGGGAGTCGGTGCTCATTCCGGGCTACGCCCTGAATTGCACCATCGCCTCCCAGCAGATGCCTAAGAAGATCGTGAACGCCAAGATCGCCTGCCTGGATTTCTCACTGCAGAAGACCAAGATGAAGATGGGCGTCCAGGTGCTGATCAACGATCCCGACAAGCTGGAGGCCATTCGTGCCCGTGAGCTGGATATCACCAAGGAGCGCATCAACATGATCCTGGGCACCGGCGTCAATGTGGTGCTGGTCAGCGGTGGAGTTGATGATCTGTGCATGAAGTACTTCGTTGAAGCGGGCGCCATGGCTGTGCGACGCGTGAAGAAGAGCGACCTGAAGATCATTGCCAAGGCCACCGGTGCCGCCTTCCTTACTTCTCTCACGAACATGGACGGCGAGGAGAGCTTCGATGCCTCCATGGTGGGAGAGGCTGCCGAGGTGGCCCAAGAGCGTATCTGTGACGATGAGCTCATCCTCATTAAGGGCACAAAGGCACGGTAAGTACAGAAATGCAGTAAACCAATAGAAACTGAACTCACAGACCCGATTCTCCCTGTAGTGCTGCTTCCTCCATTATTCTCCGTGGTCCCAACGACTTCTACTGTGATGAGATGGAGCGTTCCGTGCACGACGCTCTGTGCGTGGTGAAGCGCGTGCTGGAGAGCAAGAAGGTGGTTGCTGGTGGTGGCTGCGTTGAGGCTGCCCTGTCCATCTATCTGGAGAACTTCGCCACCTCGCTCGCTTCCCGCGAGCAGCTGGCCATTGCCGAGTTCGCCAAGTCGCTGTTGGTCATTCCCAAGACGCTGTCCGTGAACGCCGCTAAGGACGCCACGGATCTGGTGGCCAAGCTGCGATCCTATCACAACTCCAGCCAGACCAAGCCCGAGCGCTCGGATCTCAAGTGGACCGGCCTGGACCTGATCGAGGGTCTGGTGAGGGACAACAAGAAGGCAGGAGTGCTGGAGCCAGCCATGTCGAAGATCAAGTCCCTGAAGTTCGCCACGGAAGCGGCCATCACCATTTTGCGTATTGACGACATGATCAAGCTGAATCCGGAGGACAAGAGCGGCAAGAGCTATGCCGATGCCTGCGCCGCCGGCGAGCTGGACGGTTAGACATTCGTCCCATCCTTTGAGGGACACTTCTTCTATTCAGTTTAGGCACTTAATCTTAATCAAATCACTCACAATTGTCGCCCGCCCCATTTGATTGTAACAACAATGTAATTGTGTTGCCTTTTGCGATCTGTATTAACACCGCACATCCGTAATCCTTTCTCATCCACGCTTCATGGCATAATAAATCGAACTTCAGGATATGCTGAGGCGCCAACTAAACACTGGAGTCACATTGTTTACGTTATTGCGGGAGAGGCGCTGATCGAGAGCAGAGCACGCAGAGAGCCGAAGAGTCGGACGGACGCTATTAATAGCGTCTGCATCTATTTGGTCTATTAATACAAAAAGAAAACACAGCCGAAACGCACATTGTTCGACGAGTTTTTAAAACTTAAGGAATACTTTTCAATAAAATGTCCGCTAATAACGAGGAGGGAGCCGTTGGCGGCGATCTCAACAACAATGTCACAGCTCCGGTCCCGTCCAACGGCCAGGAGGAGGTGCAGCCGCCGGAGCAGCCGCAGAACGAGCTGCTTGACATGGTTTTCACGTTGGAGAGCGAAAAACAGGCGTTGCTAGAGGAGTCTCGCAAGCGAATCGGAGCACTCCGCAAAGACTTTGAGGTTAGTTTACCCGTGTCCATCGGATGCAGCCCTCCACTGACCCTGATTGCAGGAAGCCAAGATCGAGAATGAGCACCTGAAGAGGCGAGTGGTGCAGCTGGAGCAGTCCCTCAAGCAGTCCGTCATGCTGGGCGGCACAGACGCCCCCAAGTCCCGGCAGGAGCAGGAGGAGCTGCTCGTGAGGGCCAAGACCCTGCTGTTCGAGAAGACCAAGGTGAACAAGCAGCAGGAGCAGCAGATAGCCGTGCTCAAGAACCAGGTGGAATCGGTGAAGGACGTTCTCCAGGTGACCAAGGATATGCTGCAGCTCAAGACCACCGAGTGCGATCACACACAAGCACGTCTGGAGAAGAGCCAGCAGTGGATCAAGGCGGAGCAGGACAAGTGTGCGCTCACAGAAAAGAAGCTGGTAATCTCTAAATCTGTGTATGACAAGCTGCGGGCTGAGTACGACACTCAATCGAAGATTTTCAAGGTACGTTACGACCCCTGGATACCCCTTATTATAGAATCTGTTTCCTTGCAGGAACTGAAGTCCGCCTACGAGCAGAAGCTAAAGGTCCTCGGCGCGGCATTGGATCAGGCCAAAAAATAGTGGAACAATTTAATAAACTACGTTAATTAAATGCACACATCTCGTGTTTAAGTTTAATAATTTAATGCTCTTTGTTCTGTCCCGTCGTCCTTGTCGTCGTCCTACGAGCTCTGGGTGGCCGCCTGCTGGGATTGCTGCTGCTGGGCCTGGAGCATCTTGGCGGCGGCCGCCTGTTTCAGCTCCAGCACACCGATCACAGAGTTAAGGAAGCGCGTCTTCTGCAGGTGGATCTTCTCGATTTTCTCAATCTGCTCCTGTACGTACTCCACCCGCCGCTTGAAGTAGTCCTTGGAGCCCTCCAGGTCCTGTTTGGCAAACAGATGGTGCAGGAGATGAGTATGTGTTCGAATGGTAACCTGCAATATACATACCTTTTCGATGTAGTAGCCGGTGCCGATGTCTATAACAAAGTTGTTGAGATCCTTAACGCGGCCCGGCACATACATACTGCTGGTCAGCGGCACCAGAATCTGGCGGTTCTCCCAGTCCGGCTGGAAGGTCTCCAGCGCCTCCTTGGATCCGGCGTACTTTGCTTTGCAGCCGTGCAGCGTCGACAGCGATTCCTGTATGTTGGTCATCTCCTGCAGGTGCACGAAAAAGGGAACTTTAGAAGCATGTGCATGCGCCACTCGCAGACCCCTCGGCACCCGCGCCCGACAGCCCTGACTCATCGTGCCCACGAGATGGGAGACACCGCACGCGACTCACCTGCTCGAACTCCTGCTTGATCTGCACGAGCTGCTCCGGACTCAGCTTGGTCAGGTCGATCATTTCGGCCTTGCCTGGTGCATTTGCGGGGGCAGCCATGGTTTGTGCTTAAACTTGTAATTTACAACGAGAATTCCAATTTTATTCTGTCCAGGGATGCAAAAACATCGATGTCACTATCGGTAGTATCGATGTTTTTTAAAAAGGCGATACATCGATTTATTTCTCCCAACATCGATGTTTTTGCATCTCTAGGAAGGATTCCAATAATTAATAATAATAAGAATACAAATTATCCTTGCATATATCCTTGCCATGGACCGTTATCCAATTAGAAAATGGGAGTGGACAATATTCCATTTTTCCTTTAATGTGCTGCGAGCTTTTTCAGGCGCTACAGCATGGTCACACTATTGCAAAACTTTCAGCATTTCGCGGGGAACGTCGGTTTTATTTGAAAATATTTAGCATTTGCGTAATTTTACAGTGTTATATAAAAGTTAAAAAAACCTGCCACATTTTTAAGCTGAAAAGTTATCGAAAAACAAGTTTAAAAAATATAAGCCATATATTTGAATACTTCTGAGATGTGATATTTGGTTTGATTTGTTTAATTGATTGTGTTTTCAGCTTACTTTACCAAGTTCAAGGGTCATAATAATTGTGTACTCGTAACATGGCAGTGGGTTTTCTGTCAACATTTCGGCATTAATGTTTGGTGTAGTTAACTAAGCCAAATTTGAAATTAAAAACCACCATTAGGTCTCAGTGAACACAGTGGAAGAACATGTCCAATCCGGAAATGGTACCACTTCCCAATCCAGAGGGCTTGCCAATGGATGACCAAGCTAATCAACGGAAGAACAGTATGGTGAAGCGTTTCTTCAAGAATTTTTCGGTCGGTCGTCTTTTTGCTCGAAAAAAGACATCTAACAGTGGTAAGAGTTTCCTTAAAGGTTCTTTAAATCATTCAATCAGCTTTAAATCGGGTAGTTGTGAAATTATAGTGCAAATCTTAAATTTCTTATTATTAATTCTCATTACTTAAACATTGACAGCTGGCAATCCGATGGAGCAGGTACCATCTGCCGCCAACGAACCAAATGATATGGATATGCATGAAATGCAGGTGCTTCACGACAACCAAACCCGACCGATCAACCGGGATGAACCACAGCCTTATCCTGTTCAGGAGCCGGAGCCGCTGACTGCCTCCTAGGTAAAGGCAAAGAAACTGCAAACGAAACCTCGGAAGAGCATCGCTGGATGTGTCCTTGAAGAAGAGATCATTAGAGGACTGTTTTTAGAATTCGACCGAATGGCTGCAACGTTTTAAAAAGGGCAATTCATTCTCTACTTACTGCCTGTGATTACAACTTCTGCAAACCCGATTCTTCTTTAATAAAACAAACCCATAACGAATTCAATGCTTTTGTTTGTTTTCAATTTTATTTTATTTATATTTATTATATGCAATGTTATAATTCTGTGTTTTGTCAGTCATTCTGTATTTGTATGCGTTTTACAATTTTGTTCTTTGGGTTTTCTTTCTCGTAAATTAAAAAATCTAACACAAAACAAAGCAATTTCTTTAACAATCACTGCCGCTACATATACATACACGATACAATTTGTTAAATATATATTTATAAGTAGGCACAGCTCAAGCGCTGCGCGTCCAATACATATTCTTTGTTATATGTGGGTGTTGTGTTTCGGTTTATATATTTATGTATAGATTAGATAACAATGATATTAAGCCTAAGTAGAAGTAAGTTTTAGTACCGATACTGGCGATCGTTCCTTGCTATCATCTGCCCGGCACCTGCGCTTCCACGTCGCTTCCGATCCTTGAACTATTACGTTACATGCTTTAACTATGTTACTGTTACACATACAACTAACTGTACTCGTCCTCTACGCTCCCCAGTCACTATATCATACATAACATTTACCTTGCCTCAAGTGTTGCTTTTATTTTGTTTTCATCGATTTCGGATAAATACCTTGTAATTAATTTGTGGAAACACAATGAAGAGAGTTAGCCGGGGCGGATATTCGAAGTTCCCTTTGAATTCTTGTGTGAGTGTGTGCTCTCTGATAAATCGCAAGGCAAATTTGTATAATTAGTTATATATTTAATTTGGTTTTGGTTTTCGTTTGGTTTCCTCTTGAATCGAAATGAATAAACTTTGTGGTTTAGTTTAAATGCAGAGTTTTCCTTGTGCAGCATTAACATTGTGAAGAGATAGAGAGAAAGAGTTGTCGTAGCCGTTTGGGAGAAAGTGTTACATAGATAAGTGGGAATGGTTGTTTTGGTTATCAACAGCGTTTAAAATTTGTCGTTACTCGTTACTCGTTTGGATTCATTATCAAATCGAAGGGACGTACGTAATGCATAATAATAATTGTTTCGTTATAATTATACTCGTAGTTATATCGTATGCGTGTATATGTTGTATAGATGTACATTTATAAATAGTATAGTTTGGATGTAGCGTGTATGTCTTGTATAATATATATATATATATAGTTATGTCCGTGTACGTGTTTCGCTATGTACTTGTAATTGTAATTGTCCTAGGTGTTCATTTCAGCTAGATTCGCTAGTTTGTCTGCCTTCCCTACATACGCTTTCGCCTTTCTTCCTCGTTCTTTGTATACAAGTTAAGGGTTTAAAAAACTCGAAAATATATCAAAAGTTTCTTGAAATGCAGTATATATGTATTTTAGTTGTTAAATATATATATATATATTCTTGTTAATATATAGTACTTTCCTAGGTATATACAGCATACCTCGCCTTGGTTTCCATTAAGAATTTCAGAGAAGTATGTCCAGTAATTTCGCTGGTGTTCAAAACGCGTGAGGGTGTGAGTGAGATCGGGGGTGTGTGTGTATGTGAATTGTGAATGGTGAGTGTGCGTGTATTAGTAAGTATATCGAGTGTATATAGTCCTTTGTATATTTAATCCAAAATGATACACTAATTTATGTATTTATAGTGAAGCAAAAATTTGAGTATAGCGCATTAAAATGATATTTGTGATATTATTGGATACTGAATTCAATTACCAAATGGCGGCTTGCAGAAGGTCGAATCTCGCTTCATCTCTATAAGGAGGGGCACATGAATCACCGTTGGCAAGTTCTGTGGCATCCCTGTATGCGTCTGTGTGGGTGTAAGCGTGTGAGTGTGAGTGTTCCGGTGACTGCTGATTGTGTATACGTCACGTTGGCTTCGAAAAATACGCTTAAAGCTGCTATAATACTGTAAAATTGTTGCATGTTCTCCTCGTTTTTGGTTTTTGTTGTCGGTAAAGTAATTTTCGCTCACATTGAATAGCAGTTGTTGTTGTAGAAAAGCTAGGTAGGTTCGCTTCAGTGTCCTAGAGTGTGTGTAGTGTGTGTAGCGTGTGCCTAATGCGTGTGTGTGTGTGTGTGTGTGTGTGTGTGGTGTCTTGTCTTGTCACTTGATATGTCTGAGTTCATATTGCATGCAAGGCGATGACAATATTTAGTCTCAAATACATATAAAAAGTATATGTGTTTTGGGCTCGGGAGTTGAGGAATTGGGACTAACCAAAATTCGCATCGAGTTGCTGCACGCAAACGAAAAAGTCGCATCACGTTTACGTCAACCAAATCAAATCGTGGGGGTAACTACTGCAGTGTCTGTTTGATTCTCCATAGTTAGTTATCCTTTAGTTTATATCATTTACATTTTAACTAATTAAAGCCGCTTTCAATTCAACAAACAATCCGTAGCATTAATTCTTGCACCCATCCTCATCATTATCATATTATTGTAGTCGACAGACTATATCCTGTCTCGTACGTCTACAGCACCACATATTTTGTAACTTTACACGCTGCCTAGGCAAAGAATAGACCCCACTAGCATTTACCATAACTTTACGTTTACATTGCTGAATTTCTGCTAAATTGTTTAGTGGATTCGCTAGAGGACTTGCAGTTTAATGGGGGCTTCGATCCTTCGTACTTGCTCGTAGCATACTTTGTGGCGAAATATTTTACACAATTACTTGATTGGCTAGTGGCATAATTTATCATAACGCTGTGATATATATAATATATATATAGTTTACTCGTTTAGTGTATTTTATATGCTTATTCGCTGATGGTTGTGGCCGCACTCGCGTGCTAGAGTTATTCGCAAGTCTTGAGTTGAAGCTATAATTTCTTAGGCGTAATCTAAACGTTACCGGATGCTGTCGGCTAAAGTATTTGCGTGTCTATCTGCTTGCCGCTAACTTGTTATCTTATCAGCTTATTGCACCCTTATTATCCTTCCATTCATTTGTACACTCTCGTCTCGGTCTCGATCCAAGTGTCGTCGACTGTGTCTGCGTCTAATTAACGTTATGAGGCTGCTAAATAAATATATATTCATATATATACGTTATGCGTGTGTGTATCTTAGGGGGACATTCACTTCGGCTTTCGGCCTTGCACTAATTGCATTTTATTGCTAATTTGACGATAATTCCTCCCGACCCAGACGCCTTACACATACCACTCCTTGACGTCCTTGGAGTCGCGCTTCTTGGCCTTGGGCTGCACCAGTCCCGCCATCTGGGGCCGGCCATCGCTGCCGTAGCCCAGTGACCCACTACCGCTGGACATCATACCGCCGCCGCCGCCACCGCCACCTCCATTTCCGTTCCCGTTGTGTCCATTGTGCATCTGCTGCTGGCCATGGTGCTGCTGCTGCCCGGATCCGCCTCCGCCTTGGTGATGGTGCTGCCGCTGCTGGTGGTAGGAGCCATTTGTGCTGGTATTACCCAGGAGCGCCGCATTCGGATTGTGGGAGCCGTAGGCTGCCGCCTTCTCGCTCTCCGTCTTGTAGCCACGATCTCCGTTGGACTTGAGCCACAGGACCAGCAGAATAACCAGCACCACGGCGATGAGGATGCCAGCCACGATGCCAATGATCATGGCTGTGCGCTCCTCCTCGATGGAGTTTATTCGGCCGCCTTTGCCCTTTGGCCGGTAGTTGTTCAGATTGGTGTTGTAGGTGTTGCCGCCATAGGGTCCGTAGGGTGGCGATTCCTGCGGCGGCAGCGGTGGCGGAGGCGGTGGAAGATGCTCGTCCGGCAGTTGCATGCGATCGTGATCGTTGCGCCCAGAACCGCCCATGCCTGCGTTGTACACGTCATACGGCGTAGTTTCCCGCTCAGTGACCGTGTTCCGGACATCCGGCGACGGCGTGGCCTGAGTTGTAGTGGTTGTCGTGGTCGTAGTGGACGTAGTCGTGCTCGTACTGGTGCTGCTGCTGGTGGCTCGCTGCGTAGAAGTAGTAGCGGCGCTGCTGGTGGTGCTTGGCTGCCCAGGAGTGCTACTTCCTCCGCCGGAGCTACTGCTGCTGCTGCTGCTGCTGGACTGGGTGGTGGCGTAGGACGGAGTGCTTCCACTGCTGCTGCTGCTGCTACCATGTTGCTGCTGCTCCGTAGTGACATCGCTGCGTCCGGTGGTGGTTATCGTGACCATCTCATTGTTGGACTCTGCAAGCAGTCGGTTTGGGTTTATTCAAGTGTTTTCAAGTGGGGCTCTTAAGCTTAAATGTTTTTTTTTTGTTTGTGTACGAATTATTTGTGGTTTGACTTCTATCCTGAGAAAGGACTGTACTCATTTACGCGATTTTAATGGAATATTATAAATAAAAACCCCAAATTAATAAATCATTGAGCCTATTTTGTAATAATTCAAAGATAAATAATAAAGGTCTTGTAAATTCCCCATCATTTTAAAAGAGTTTGAACCTTAAGTTGGCTTTCCCATCCCAAAAATCATGTCAACTTCCAGTTTTGCTTTGCTTTTCATAGTTTATTCAACACAGTTAGAGAGGATAGAGATTTAGATATTGAGAGATATGCTTGTATGTTGGGAGTATGTGTTTTTGTCTGTGGGTGCTACTTGACCTGCTCGCTGCCGGCACGACCTTCTGTGCTGATATGTACAAATTGGAATTGGAAGAACGGGTACAACTAGGCGATATCGAGGAGGAAACAAATATGGAGGGAGAGGAGCAACTGGAGAACGGGTATTGGGAAAAATCACATCTTACACTCGTTCAGAATTGGCTTCTTTATCGCTACTATGTACAAAACATATACATCATCGATCGGTGCACCCATTACATATACATAACCATATATATATGGGTATATATATCGCTTAGCCCTTATCGCTTATCGCTTAACGCTTAACCCTCGCTCAATCGCAAAACCCTTGCCAATGATTGGTGTGGCTGTTGTTCTGGTTCTTGAAGTTTTCTGGCTGTTGTTGTTGTTGTTTCTGGTTGTTGTTGTTGTAGTTGCTGTTGCTGGTGGTTTAGCTCTCGTTAATGCTAGGAGTTAGTTATACAGTTTTAGACAGAGGCCTAGAGTTGGAAGCTTAGCCTAAGTGCATTGCTTTGGTTGTTTTTTGCTTGTTTGCTTATGGGAATTTACAGAGTATCCATGGCGCAATCACAGTCAGAAATATGAAGGCGATTTCACATTCTGAAAGAGACACATAAGGCGTACTCGTCGTCAGTTCAAATTAGAAGGCAATCAATCATCAGCAACAGAGTGGAGATGAAGGAGAGGCGACATTGCGTTGTTGCGATTCGTTTTGAAATATATTCTTTTTTGATTTTTTTGGGCTGATCTGAGCTGAGCTGAAGATGACACGGCGACTGAGCGACTGACTGATTGGTTGGATTTTGGTTCTGGTTGGGTTGATGCTTTGCAAGGGGTGCGATATTGGCGATATATATATGTATATATATATAGTTATATACGTTTGGGGCTGTCTTTTTTTTTTTTTTTTGCTGTTTCAATGGTTTGATTTTTTGTATGTGGAAGCGGTCAAAGCATTGGCATAGCTTCCTCGATCTTGTGGAGCATTGAACAAACAAACTGAAAAGGCAAAGCGTCACTAGCTAATTGGTTATATGATTATACAAATTCGATTATAGGTTACAACTCGAACTGGAACAGGAACTGGAAGTCGAACACAACGAAACCCACAGCTTAATCATTAACTTGTTCTCTACTTTACTAGGGTAACTGGAGCGTATACTTAATGCGTATACTTAATGCGTATACTTAATTTGAATTTTGAGTGGGACTGGCTAATGTCTGCGATGAAGTATATATGTGTGTGTTCGTGGTTTAGTGAGGTGTCTGGTGTTTCCTTGTGTGTTTCTTGTGATTGATCCAAATGCCAATGACAACATGAGACCATTACACTGCTGGAGAAGAAGCCACTCACCTGCACCCGCTCCCCTGGCCGTGCTCGTTGATGTGAACTGCTCCGTGGTCTCGCCATAATCACCGGATCCATGGACGCAGTCCTCGTCGTCGCAGGCTCTCTCTGTGCCATTGGTATTGCCACCGCTGCCGCCGGTGCTCAGACTATTGCCCTGCTGCGAGGTGGTCGTTTGCTTGGTGGGCGGCACATAGACGGGCGTGATTAGGTCATCGCCGCTGCCCGACTCGAAGGGCGGCGTGCACTCGTCCTCGTCGTCGCCGCGACACCCTGACCCGGCTCCAGAGAATATCAGATCGTCTAAGGCACCGGGGAAACCACTCGCCGGCGTCTGTCGAATAGAGTTCAAAGTCTAATTTTACTTCAGTTGATCTGGCGGCAGCCGGGCCAAGCGATGGTTATTGTATGGGGTTTTGTTAGTTGCATTAGTAAGTTGCTTAGGTGCTGCTTGATTAGGTATATATGTATGGATGTGAGTATGTGTGAAGCCACGGGGGATAAATGAATATTGTGCAGAGAGATCTTAAAGAGTTCACTATAATGTTTTCAGACAAATATCACAGTCTCAGGAAGTCTGAAGACTCATTAAATTCTTATTCTTTAATTCTATATACTTCTTTATTAACTTTTTTTAAATAATAAACTAACTTCATTTATAGAATTTAATCTCAGCTTATCGAAATTTAAATTAGTCTCAAATCTCCAGTGGCTTCCTGTTTCGTGTTTGAGTATATTTATGTTCGATGTGAGCTTTGAGTAGAGTCATGCAGCATTGGTGCGGACGAGTTCTAGTGCATAGTAAATCGGTAGTATCGGTTTATATGGCTGTATATATATTCACAATTATTGGTTAATGTGCGCTGTGCAGCAATTGATACAAATTGAGGGAACTCAAAACGCTGGTTAGTCTCGATTTTGTTATTTTGTTGGTGCGATCAAAAGCGTTACAGAATAAAACGAAGGCTCCCGAGGGAAATCATAATGTCAATTCAAATGCAGCATTTACACTAGGTTTATACAGTTAGTAGTTAGCTAATACTTTTGGTTTAGTTGGAACAGTTAACGTTTATACTGAATGTCGAACCGAATTTCCCGCATTTGATTTTGATGACGATGACTTCAATGTACAACGATTTAAGGCAATGCGATTTATTGGGCTATCGAAATTGTGCTTGGGAACTGTACATTATTCGGATTTATCGGTGGTGCAACCAAATCAAATCAAATCATGTCAAATCGCTTCAAATCGTTTTTGGGAAAAGGGGTTCCACAAATCATGAAGCGGATTAATACAGTAATTTTGGTTAGATTTTCGTTTTTGATATCTTTTTTTTTTTTTGTATTTAATAAAAGAAAGAATTTTGAATAAACTTGGTTTACGATGAGAAAAATACTTGGAAAGTTGAAAGTTGAGAGGAATTCAAATAAAATTTCAAATAAATTCCCTAACCTGCTGCATTCTCTGCAGATCATTTCTATCTAATACTCCAGTTACCAATTGAACATCTCCGCGGATGGTGATATGGGGGTCGCGCTCGACGGCCAAGTCCAGGATTCGCAACTTGTTCACCGACAGTCCGGCAATTACGCCAGCGAACGGCCGCTCGATTCGACTGCGGCCGTTGCGGCTGAATTTGCCGCCGACCTGGACGTTGGACATGGTATTGAACACGGTAGAGTGGTGGCCTGCAAGTCAACCGCAAGAAGATCGGGAACGGCATTAGATAACCCCCGGTATTAGGTGTCCCTGCACTTACTCTGCGGCGTCAGGGCCTGCACATTGTAGTCATCCAGCTGGAGTGTGGCATTGCCTCCCTTGCGCTGGAACCTCACCACGTGGTAGGCATTATCGTTCACCTTTGTGCCGATCTCGCCCAACGGCAGGTCCACGCTGCCAATATTGTACACCATAAAGATGTTCCCCTCGACAATCTCTAGCTCCATGTAGTCCTGGGTGGTGTGACTCTCCACCCGCAAGAGCACTGCGTCCGGTCTGGTGGTGATGAAGCCCAAGGCGATATTATCCTCCTCGGTGTCGGCCTGCGCGTTCTCCGGGAAGGTGTACTGTACCATGCCCTTGTTGTTGCCAAACTCATAGGCAATGGATTCTGTAAGGGAATTATTTTAAATTAAATATAGATTTAAAAATATAAATTTTTAGGGCCACAGATACCCCATCCTGGTTCTTCCTAAAGGACTTCCTCTTCACTTACCATCATAGCACGTGGGTCCTGTGTAGGATGTCATGTCACACTCGCAGGCATAGGCGTTCCACTGCTGCACACAGATTCCCCTATTGGCACACGCGTTCTGGCTGCACTTTGTGGGTCCCTCGCAGCCACTGACCACTAGGGAACTGGGCACCACAGCATCGCTAGTGAGCGATGGCGAGGCGTCGCCCAAATCTAGAGAGGACAGACAGCCCTCGAAACCGGATCGCGACGAGATCGAGGCCGGCAGCTTGGCGTACATGTCCTTGAAGACGCCGCCGATGTACAGGATGCCCGCCAGCTCCAAATGCATATTATTGCCGGTCAGGCTAACGATCTCAAACGAATCGTCCACGGTGAGGGTGTGGGTCTTGGGCCCAGGTCGCCGGATGCTGACCTGGTGCCAGCGGTTGTCGTTCATGTGGATGCGAGACTTGTCCCGCATGGTCACCGGTCCGTCGCCCAGGTCGAAGGTGTAGTGAATGTGCCCATTCACCAGTTCCACTGCCACGAAGTCACTGCGCCGCCCTCCGTTGAAGACCAACAAACCATTGGGCTCCACGGTCTTGAAACGGAAGTCAATCGAGATGCTGTTGTAGGCCTTCAGCATGGCCAGGCCCACGTAGGAGTGCTTGGAGCGGAAGGTGGCCGCGTGGTAGGGCTGACCGGCCGGGGAGTTCACGAAGCGCGCAGTCAGCTTGAAGGTGGCGCTGGGCAAGGCCGAGAGCTCTGGTCCCAGGCTCTTGACTATGTCCAGATAACTGAGGAAAGAACACAAAGAGGGGTCTAGAAATTAAACGTACTGAGAGGCCGAGGACACCCACCGCTGCCCGTTGAACACCAGGCCCTGCATCTGGCCGACGAAGTTCGGCATCGTCGAGGTCATCTGGATCTCCTCCTCGGCATGGAAGAGCCCGCCCAGGTGGATCGAGCGGATCTCCATGGTGCTGTGGCGCCCCAGGATTGTCTCGGCTGTGCAAAGAATATTTCCAAAAACAAGAGATGGATAAAACTCGGGCGCCTCGCCATGGGGTTGTCAAGCCAGGCTCGGCTTTGCTCTAAGTTGTTGACTAGGCGGAGTACCGTTAACATTGGATACATATGGATATACTTGGATATATATAGGTTTTTTTGGTACGAGTAGTAATATGGAGTATAGTTGGTGACAAGAAGCACATACGCATTTGTAGTCAAAGAGTATATAGTTGAGTATTAAGAGTATTGAGTAGATATAGGTATGCGGTTTTAGTAGACATAGATCTAAGTTTGGTTCATAGATTTTTCAAGCATTGTTTTTTCACTCGACAGGTGGCTGAATGTTGTTGGAATTCGATTGGAGTATTATTATTATTGATTTGTTGCGTTGCATCTTGGTACATACTAAAGAAAGGTGCAGATTACAATACATATGTACTGGTACGGATAGTAGTTGTAAGTTAAGTTAAGTTGTTAATTAAGACAAAACGAAATCGATAATAGAAAATCGAAAATGGAAACTAGCTCGCGCTAGCCAGCGCAAACCAAAGGAAAGTAAGTAAAAGTAAAGAGTTCGCTAGGTTAGATTAGTTAGTTGGTGCGCTTTGTTCTGGTTTACATACGAATATGCATTGATTGACATTTGAGGAATACTTATATATCTTTTCTTAGATTAGTTTGGTGTGTGAGATACATTTTCAATACGATTACGGTGACGGTGACATTTCAGTTAATTTCAATTAAGTTTTTTCTCTCAGCTGTGCATGGCTCAAAAACAGATTAAACCGAGGAAACGCATAAACATGAGAAAATAGGCAACCTACTAACGGGCTAGTAATTGGAAATGAAAAGGTCACAGAGATATAATATCGGTAATAACCATGATAATTGACAAAAAAAATATATAAAACAAAGAACAATTTCTGGGGGTTTTGCTTAACGACATTGAACTAAACATCGATGGGTATCGGGGTTACTGTCCAGTTTTCTCTCGTGGCAATGGTAATGCTCTTGTTCTTTTGTAAATGTGTTAATCTGTGCCCTAGAGAGTTCCATGTTTGTGTTTGTGTGTTTGGCCTGGGTTTAGTTCTGTGTGTGTGCGACGACTACGTCTAAGTTAATAAGGGTGCATTAGCCTTAACGAGCGGCCACATTGCGCATACGACGCGTTGGCCCACTGAATGATTGACATCTTGACATGCAAATGACTTCGGCGACAGAGAGAAAAGGGGGAGCGAGAGAGACAGAGAAAGAGAGAAGTATAGCGGCGAGAGAGAGATAGAGAGAGAGAGAGCGATGTGGTGGGAGGAAGTCGAAGTAGGCCACTGTTGTTGCAGCTGGCAATTTGGCGCATTCACAGTTACTTATTCATACACTTGAATTGCTGAGTGGGCTGAGCAGAGTGATACGATGCGGTGGCGAACGATACGATATATACGATATACACTGGTTAATACACACTATAGTACACTGTACAATGGCTAGCCGGATTCGGGGATTCGGGGCTCAGATCGTGAGCAGGTCATGCGGTTTGCTATTTCATTCTGACTGACAGTTATTGGTTTTGGTTCTGGCTACTGGTATTATAATCGTGGTTTTATTACGGCTTTTGTTGCTGCTGCTGCTGCTGCCTGTCTTTCGGGTGCTCACATGCAAACACTTCACGTGACGTGAGTGTGTGTGCAAACGGTGCGAGAGAGAGTGTGTTGGTGTGTGTGACTATGCCTGTGCCTGTGCAGGTGTGCGAGACTTCCGGTTGGCAGTGTGTGAGTGTTTGTGTCTCAGTGTGTTCCTCTGGCAGGAGCAGGATCTGGCTACAAGGACACAAGGCCTTTGAAGGCCGAAAATAATTTATAGATACAACTGGCAATATGAGGTATTAGGTTTATGAATAATTTCTGAATTGCTTTTTCAAAAATTAATTTAATCTCTAAATAAACAAGTTTCTTAGTTTGACTGTAGATTCTGAATATATTTTTGTGGCATTGTACATTTTGCCAAAGAGTCGGAAACAATTGAAAGGTTCCCAGAATTTAGTAAAACTTACTAATTTATAATGAATAATTTTAGAATTCTTTTGTGGATGTCTTGAATGAATTTAAAATCTAAAACCGATTTGCCTTAACTGCATTAAATACTTCAGACTAAAACTTATTACAAGTATTTTCTTCCTGTGTAGCCATCCCCATAGCCTGCCATTGATTGATTTCTCCTTCGTTTTTTTTTCTGTTTTTTGTTTATTCACACTTACACAACAAGAATCTAATTGTACGTGAGACACGTTAGGCTTGATTAGTTAGTTGCAATTTGGTTGCGGTTGCGGTATTGTTGTTGTATTGATGTTTACGAATAGTTGAGTTTACTTAACACAAAGCTAATTACATATTAAATGGTGCAAAATTACAGCCCTGGGCGCTTCCAAACATTGTTTTGCCCTCTCGTCTCAATAAGCCAGGCCCGGCTAAAGGCTAAAAAGAGCCATATTTTGAAGCAATGGCAATCGCAATCGCAATTTGGCCGATGGCGTGACTTTCATCGAGCGATTTGGGCAAAAAAATGTTTCCCCGCGTTCTTGCGTGTCGATTTTTTTCTCTCGCCTAAAACATGAAACGAAAAAACGATATTGTACATTGTAAATTATTTACGTTGCGTTCCCGTTCTTTTGCATTGTTTCGCCTTACTCATTTTCTCTGTGGCATATTTTTTCTTTTTATTATTCTCTCTCGGTTGCATTTTTTTTTTTTTAAAGAAGGTCATTAGATCACGTTTGTGATTAGGGAATTGCATTTGCATTTGACATTGTTATTAGCTGTTATTGTTGTTGTTGTTCGTTGATCTACATTCGATAGGAGTCTGAAACAAACACCTTTTAACGTTTACATACCGCACGTGTCGTTTAAGTTATGGTACAGCAATTATTTAAGTTATTTTTATTGTTTAAGGGGTTTATCATAGGTCTGTAAACTGAAACATTTTCCAAATATATTTACAGAAAGAAAAAGAAAACACACGGGATCTTTTAGAGGGAGAAAAGTAACAAATAATGCAATAGGTTGCCAAGGAAATGTGTTATTTGATTTTAAATAGCTTCCCAAGGTAATGCTATGGCATATATAACTTTAAACTACGTCTCTATTATAGACATAACCTTCATTGGCAACCTGTTATAAACTCAAATGAACCAAGGATAACTTAATCGATTAATCGGGGACAAAACAATGTACAAGACAATTATATAATGATAAGTATTTATAACATTTAAGGCTGATACTTTACAGCTGTCCAACTTTCACTTGCGTTCGCATTTACTCTTTTAGATTACATTACGTTCGAATACGTTGACTGTGTGGGCTTAGGAATTGGAATTGTAATTGGAATTGAATTGGCAATCTTAACTGGGAAATCAAACCAAGTAAGTAAGTATCGCAAATGAAAACACAACATCGAGATGTTTGAAAGAGTTTTGAGAGAGAAACTTACAAGAGCAAAGTATATAAAAAATTATTACGAATGAGTAGTTGATAATGCGATCGAGTGCGATCCCATCCCTCCGATGGGTACTTCGCCTCGATTCGCATGGGTATATGCCATGGATGATTAAACAAACTTTTAGAGAGGCGTACAATGTGTGAAATGGTGTGGAATGTGGATGTGGATGTGGAGCTTGGTGTCTTATGATGTTCAAACTATATTGCAGATGCTTAACGATTTTCAGAGATACAGAGCGAGGTAGACATAGGTGGATAGATAGTAGAACTGTCTAGTTTATCATCATCATCATTGGAACAAGGAAGTTTGAGAGAAATGTGTCATGAGAAATGAAAGAGAGAAATAAACTGGCTAAATACTTTTCCAAATAGATTTCTTTCAAGTTTTTCATTAGTTTTTTTTACTGCATTTCGTTCAGGTGTAATCGCATGTGTGTTCTTATGTGTTTGGTTGTTTCGTGAGGTTGTGTTTCGGTGTGTGAGAATCGTTGTTAACTGAAAAGCTCTCAAATGATAAGGTTTAAAGTGGAACTTAAGAACGGAAAACGCGCTGCTGACTGCACTTTCCTTCGTTATTGATTTTCTCCTTTCTACCTTTCTTTATTTTTACTTTTTTCTTCGCTTGTATCTTTTTGATTTTTCAACTGTCCTGAAGCACCTTCACACACCTTCCTGCTGAGAGGGGCATTGGCTTTCCTATTTGAACTTGAACCTGGGGCTGTGCGTGGAGCACTAGTCATTTGGAAGCTAAATGGACTCGGACTCGCCGAGGGGAATTCTTACAACTCGTGGATTCGGTTGGTTGCTTGGTTGGTTGGTTGACTGGTTGGTTGGTTGGTAAAAAAAAACGACACGGCACGACACGTAGTAGGGCATATATGTGCTGTTGATACATACATAACATACCCCTGACGGGGGGAGCCCCGTCGACTTGTAGCCGCAGATTGGAGGCTCTGCGCGAGAAGCGGATCGTGTGCCAGTTGTTGTCGTTGAGCACCGACTGGCCGGCCAGCAGGTTCTGCAAGGAATTATTCACAAGCTCAAAAAAACTGTCCATACGTCTCAGAAAGTCGCCTTTAAGTTTGGAAATTCATTTCGAATTTGTAGAAGCATTTCTCAGAAAAATTAAAATAGTTATTCCTTTGAGAATTCTCTTCTACCTTATTAAAGGCGACAAAAGACATCCCACCCCGGCCAACTCACCTTCTCCCTGTCGCTCAGCCGGACACTGGCCCGCACCCTTCCCGCCACGAGAGCAATCTCCAACCGATCCGGCGAATTGGACTCAGCGCTGGTCAGCAGCAAAAGTCCGGCAGGGCGCGAGGTCTTGAAGCGAATGACCAGCTCTTCGGTCTGCGTCTTGGTGCCCTGTCCATTGCCCAGCCAAATGGTCATGTGCTGGCTGCCGTTGAAGGCCAGCGTGGCCAGCTCCCGGCCGCAGGTGGGTCCGCCGTACAGAGTAGCCGAGCAGTCGCAGATGGGGCGGTTCCAGCCCTCCAGGCAGGTGCCGCCGTTCAGACAGGGATTTCCGTTGCAAACGTTGCTCTGAACGTGGCACGAGGGCTTCACGGAGGCTGTTCCCAAGGGGATTATCAGTGGGTGCCCATCGCTGGCGTGACAATGGTACGGCGCTACTCACCCGAGTCCTGGACGCGTGCAAAAGCCGCTATATCGATCGCCTTGCCACTCAGCACCAGGTCACGCAAGCAGCCCACGAATCCCTGGCGCAAAGTGGCGGTCCAAATGGCCGCCGGCCAGGCCACGCTGTTGTATGCGGGTCCCACGCCGCCCAGGTACATGTGCCCGTCCAGCTCGAGGATGGTTCCGTCGCCGGGCGTGCGGAAATCGTTCCATACCCCGTCCACGCTCACCTTGGCGTCGCGTCCATTTCTCCGGAGAATCAGGTCGTGCCAGTCGCCATCGTCCACGCGACGCCTTGAGGCTCGCACCTTGGACGCCCCGGATCCCAGGTCCAGGTGGATGTATATGTGGCCATTCAGCAGTTCAATCGCGATCAAAACGGGCTGGTTTATAAGGAGAATTACCTTTAGTTGGAGCGGAAATATTATTGAGGCAACTTACGTTCTTAGCTCGTGGTTGCTTGGATCCGGTTGCCAGGACGATGATACCGTTGGGTTCCTTAGTCCGGAACTTGAAGCTGATGGAACTCTGCTTGCCAGTTTCCCAGGGAGGCAAGACCTATGAAGATGAAACAAAAACATAATTGATACGAGTTTCTATTCTCAGTTAGAGTCAAATTTACCAGATGGGACTCGCGGGTGGTGAAGGTCACAGGGTCCTGGGGGTCACCGCTGGGGCACTGGTACTCCAAGTTGCCAGCCACTTGGATGAGCTTGGAGCCGCTCTTGGCCAGGTCTATTAGGTTCAGATTCAAAGTGTCTGCCGAGAACTCCACCTTCCGCAGGCAACCCACAAAGTTGTTGTGGACACGGGCTCCCAGGAGAGCCCTCGGATTGACTGCACCGCCCACATAGACACGCGACGAGGATAGCATGGTGAATTTTCCAGCGATGTGCGAGTGATCCGTGTATACGTCGTCCACCACGGTGACCAGCTGGAAGAAAAGAGCTCCCTTCAATTTGAAAAACTCACAGGATTAGTTTGATACTCACCCGACAGAAGCTGGTGATGGAGGAGATCTCCTGGATGCGACGGTGCACGGTGACCTTGTGCCACTGATGATCATCAAAGCGCACCTTCGAAGGCTTAATGTGCATCTCCTGTTTTCCGTTGGCCAGTCCCATTGTCAGAGAGACGCCTCCATCACGCAGGGCCAAGTTCAGATAGTCAGTGCCGTGTCCCGTGTAGAAGAGCAGGCCGTTGGGCTGGCGGGTGCGGAAGTAGAAGGATATGGCATCCTGGGCACTCACTATCGGCTCGGCGCCCGTCTGGCCCAAGTCGTACGAGAGGAACTGTGTACCGCGGAACGTTGCTTCCGATGGCGCCTTCTCCTTCTCACAATACTGGCCATCGTACTCGAGGTTTCGACACTCGCAAATTGGACCGGAATCAGTGGATATGCAGATGCCGCCGTGCTGACATGGATCGTTCCGCTCGCAGGCATCCGTTGTGTTGCCCCGAACACCCTGCAGGAGTAATTTTGGATATTGTGATATATTACTGACCTGTTCAGATGCAATCGAGGCTAGGGGGCATTGTTATAAGGATAAAATTCAGTTTACAGCAAGGGAAAACGGGAGCACATTTAAATTATATATTCGATTTAAGTTTAAGTATAAATATATGTGTAATAAATTAACAAAGTTAATCATATATAATAATATTATATAGGTAATAGCATTACCAGTATATATATCTTATATAGTTCACAAAATGATGTGTCTAAAACTCACCCTTAAAGGCCTCTCGCGGGCGGGCAGCTCTCCATGGTCGCAGGGCACGTCGCCACACTTGATATCGCGCGGCTGCTTGATCTCCTGACGCCGTGTGGAGCCGCCTGGCTGATCCGCGTACACCAGGTTCCGGATGGCGCCCCGGAAGCGCGGCTCGAAGATGACGCTGGGCAGGGCGAGCAGCGCCAGCTTGCTGCTGTACCAGTTGGGCATGCCGCCCACATACACATCCGAGTTGCTGGCGAACTTTCCGAACTGGAACTCCTTGCCCTTGGTAGATCGCTGTTGGGAGACGCCGTCGACTATGAGCGAGGTCTGCTCATCGTTGCGCAGCACCTGCACCTTGTGCCAGTGACCATCGTGCAGCTCCCGGCCCACGGTAATGATCTGGGCTCCTCCGCCCAGATTATATCTCAGCCGGAGGGCGCCTTCGACGAGCTTAAGCTCGAAGAAGTCGTAAGTGCCGCCGTCGTCGGTGTAGAGTACCAGTCCGTTGGGCTGCTCCGTCTTGAACTCCAGCTCTAGGGTGCCGTTCAGGCCGGTGTACCACTTGCGAAAGGTGTAGAAGGAGCTCTGGGACCCGTCCAATTGGAAGCCGGCGCTGAGGGTCACGAAGCTGGCCGCTAAGCTGACCAGCAGGGCGCTGACGATAAGGACGCGGTAGGAGCGACGGTATTCCACCACCACGGGAGGCACTGCTGAATCGCTTCTCCGCCGGCGGCGCGCCTTGTTAAACCGCAAGTCCGGGCAGGCAAAGGAGGCGGAGGCGTGGGTGGGCAGGAGCCGGAGCTCCGCCGGACTAGCGTGTTCCTTGTCCATAATCGGTGGCTTGGCTGTCGTCACTGACGCAGGAGCATGGTTCTCAATAATGGCGGAGTCCTGATATGTTGCACTTGGCGCCTTCATTCACACGCACAACGTACACGCGCAAGGATACGCACACGCACACAGTCACACGCTCGCCTCACCCACACAGAGGCACCTACGCACGTTGCGCGCGTAAACGTAAAGTGTCGCTTTGTTCGCGTCTTTCTCTCTCTCCTTTCGCGTATTCCAGTCCTTGAGCGAGAGCTTTTTCCCGTCCTTCCTGCGGCGAGTGTCCTTGTGTTGGTGTTACTCGGGAATCGTTTTATCCGCGCCTGCAGCTTTTATCCGGAGAGCGCGCGAGAGTAAAGAGGCGAAGTTGGCTGCGGCTGTTAACGGTGCTCGGTCGCTGTTAACGTAACTGCACTGATTATTGCTTCGGATTTCCTGGTTTTAAATGTCCTGCACTTTGAGTTTTTGTCATTTCGATTAATTCACTGATTTTCCCACTTAATTTGGCCAACTAATTACGAACGGGAACTTTGCATCGCGTCCAGACCGTGTCAGACAACTGTTGTGATACTAGAAGCGACGGTGGTTGTGGGGCCAAAAGCTTTCCGGATACGGAAACCCCTGCCACCCGAGCCTGTGGCGCCCACGAGCGCTCCAACGTACATGTACATACTAAAAATCGGAAAAATTTTTCACTGCATGTCGAGAATGTAGGCGAAAAATTTTCCAAGACCACAAGAAGCGAACCGTTTTCACAGGCCCCAGATAGGGGGATTATTCCTTCATGCAGATAACCAATCAGTTATTTATGCGTATCGATTGAAAACTATTGATTATATACGATTTTTTGCACACACTGTGATTTTTCAATTACACAATTATTCTTTTATCTTCATTGGCTTTTATTTTATGTAACGACACGGGATTGCCTTTTGTCGCGGCGCGTTTTTGTTTAAAGTCGGGGGCTGAATTTATTTTTGCAGATTTTTTGTTCAACTTTTTGGGGATACAAAAATTTTGTGTGTCGAAATTTGTCCGCAGCGCCTTCTTCCGCTGCTCTTGACTCCGTTATCGATCCGCGCTGCATCCACGACAAGACTGAACTGCAATTTCAAACTTAATTTCCTCGCACTGTTTCCAATGGATAACGAAAGCTCCTCCAGCTTATTCACAAAAAGCCACTGGAGCGGCCTAGACGACGTGAATTGGGCGCTCTAATAGTATATAACTGCAAAGTTGTGACTTCATTTCAGTTAATTTACATTTAAAAATAATTAAACAAACTTTTAAGCGAGGAAAAACGAATATTTTCCAACTCAAGCCACTTTTAAGAGGCCTGCCCTAAAAAGTATGCTACGAACGACCGAAAGGCTCTGCGCTTTGTGTGTAGTGTATGGGAATGCCAAAAATTAAAAGCTCCCTTACTTCGCATGCATATGCGTACTACTGACACACCAACGCATACACACACACACACACAAAGCAGCTGCCCACTCACCCACACAGGCGAAATGTGCGCACAGCACGCAGGTTCATAACCTGCACCACTCAAAGCGTATTAGATGGGACACGCATACATACCCACGAACTCGTGTGTGGGCGTCCATGTGGTCACACTCGCTCGCCCACTCCCCCGCTCCCCCGCACACTACGTTATCACTGAGACGACCCGTGTAAATTCCTTGACATTTACTACGCAACTTCGACGACTCGGTTCCGAATTCGATTTGCATTTGCAACGGAATGTGTGGTCGGGTGGGTGTCTGTAACTCCCCCTTTTTACCCTCCCCCTGTTTTTCCTCCTGCCTTCATGAGCAATTGCAAGGCCGTCGCCGCCATAAATCGTGGCCACAAGCGGGCGCACATTAACTTGAGCACACCAATCACGCACTGACCATTACGCTGGGGACAGGGACTCCTCTGTTTCCTGTGGCACTTACATTTTTTAATAATTTTTTAACGCACGCTAAAGGCTAAACAAATGCCAGCACGTGCTGCCCATTGTCCTTCGTTGTGGTGACGTTCGAGTGGACTAAAAAGGGAAGTGGGAATGTCGCAAAGCTGAGCCAGAAAGCAAAAGCTCACATTTCAAAAGAGCGCCTTTAATAACGGTTGTATCCCCGAAATGTGGCAACTCTTTCTTTCTTAATATATTTTGTTTTTATTTTTAATTTTTAATTTTGTGAGAAATGATAAAAACGATTATCCATTTAAAATTAACGGCCTTTCAAAAGCTGCTTGAACTTGTAACAGTATTTATGGCTCTGCCTAATTTAGTATGTTTATTTAGTATTAATGGAAGTGCAGTCACACCAATCCGATCGTTTGCTTACAGCTGTTCTTATCAGCGGAGCTTTCCCAAGTGCACTTTACAAGGCGTTTTTCCAAAAGATTTGCACAAGCCGCAAACCATTTGCCGGGAATCTGAAGTGCCCTCGAAACCCCATCAAGTTTGTTGCCATACTCCAGAGTCACTGCCCGATCCGCTTACGTAATGCTCGCCAATTTGGGCAGACGATTGGGATCCCGCTCCGCCCTCGTCGGCCGGCTAATGCATACGGAGCGGAAAGTACGGGTTAATGGGGCCGACTTGCACATTGTGGAGACTGGCAGTGGAGAGCAGAGTCTGCTGCTGATGCCCGGAGCCCTGGGCTCCGCCTGGACTGACTTCAAGCCCCAGATCGAGCAGCTTCCCAAGCTGCTGCCCGGACACACGATCATCGCCTGGGATCCGCCGGGTTACGGCAAATCAGTGCCTCCGCAACGCAAGTTTGGACTGGAGTTCTTCCGGGAAGACGCCCAGGCAGCGGTGGAACTGATGCGAGCCCTGGACAGGCCAAAGTTCTCCATCCTGGGCTGGAGTGATGGGGGAATCACAGCCCTCATTGTTGCTGGTCGCCATGCGGATGCTGTTGACCGCCTGGCCATCTGGGGAGCTGGTGCCTACCTAAACGCCGACGAAGCCAAGGCTCTGAAGAACATTCGAGATGTGGCCAAGTGGTCGCCGCGTATGCGTGAGCCCATGGAAAAGGTGTATGGCGTGGAGAGATTTGCTGAGCTCTGGGCCGAGTGGGTGGATGCCGCTTGCGCTTTCTACGACCAAAGAGATGGTGACTTTTGTCGCTCGGAGGTGGAACAAATAAAGGCACCAACCTTTATTCTGCATGGGAAAAAGGATCCCATGATAGCAGCTGAACATATCCCCTGGTTAAGGCAGCGCCTGCCCCAGGCCAAGTACCACGAGTTCCCCGATGGCAAGCACAACATCCACCTGCGATATGCGGAGGAGTTCAACAAGCTGGTGGCTGACTTTTTCAACAAAAAGGCCTAGCTCGGAACTGGTAAGGTCTATTGTTACCGGAAATAAAAATTTACTATGTTTAGGTTACAAATCTTATCCGAACATCCGGTTAAAGCTGACCAATAGCTAAAATAATAGGAAGAAAAGTGAAAAACTGGTCTGATAATCTCTTTTGTATAGTTTTAGTTTTCTCCCTCTTTTAAATAATGAATAAAAATATTTTCACTAAAAATATTCCATAGATTATACCTTTTTTTTAACAGATAAGGGGCTTAAGTTATAGAGGTTCGGTTCCGAGTGTGCAGGTGTCCATAGGTCGAAACTGTTAATTTTGATGAATCAAATCCATATCTAAACTAAAAGGAAATTATCTATCTATGTTATGAATCACATCGAAATTAATTGAGAACTACCCACACAACAAAACCTTTCGATACTGCTTTTGAATCAAGTAATTTTCCATTTTTGTCGACTAAAAATTAATGACTGAAGAAAAGAAAAGTAGTCTTCCGTTTCCCGAAAAATTTACCTTTCTTGAATCCATTTTAAAAAGCAATATTAGAGTCAAGTCCCCATATCTTACTCTCCTTGGATCTTTACCCGCTTTGCGATTAGCAAGTTTCGATTTTTATGAGAACTAGAATTTAAGATTTATTATTTCACAGAGCGCAGATCAGTTGGTGGCCAGTTTACTGGACCGTCTCGATGAGAGTCTTGACGTAGTCATCGTACTGAGCCTGGAAGAAGTTGCCGGCCACGGGACCGCCGAAGCTGTACTTCTGGATGTAATCGCGGGCCTTGACGTTGATGCGGCCGGTGCGGCTAGTCTTGGAGACAAACTTGTCGGTGGTGATCTTGTCGTTCTGCTTGAACACCAGGAACACGTAGCGGTGCAGACCAGTTCCCTCGCGGGGTCCAGCGCCGATGTACTCGGCGATGGTCTGACCCTCGGACACCTTGTTGCCGGGGATGTTGATCACCAGCCAGTGGAGCAGCTCGCGGAACTTGGGGTCCTCGCGGCTGGGTGCATCGGGATCCACCAGCAGAAGGGTGTACAGCGAGCCGGCCTCGGCATCGAAGGTGACCGTGGGCTGGTCCTTCACCTGCGTGGGAGTCAGCTCCTTGCCCAGCTCCACCTGCACGCCCGAGGGGTAGCTAATGGTGGCCTTGGAGGCGGGCTTTACATCGATGATGTCGGGAATGATGCCGGCGGTGTCCATATTAGCGGGTTCTGCTGCTTCTGCTCGGTGTGGCGTTAGCGAGGTGACTCTGGTCGGGATTCGCGATCGCCTGCCTTTTATCGCGGGACGGAGTCCGCCGGCGCCTAATCAGTTCCGTGCACTTTCGTTTAATACCCCAACGCATAGATAGCGAGATAAGCGATTAGTTATACTTTATTGGCTGGGAATACAAAACCCGGCATGATATACATACATATGCAGAAACTAGCCGGTCATCGTCTTGTTCCGAATGAGCACCCAGTCATCGTACTGCGCCTGGTAGTAGTTGGCGGCAATGGGACTCCCCAGGCCATGCTTGGCAGCGAAATCCCTGGCATTGAAGTTCAAACGACCCGCACGAACCCTGCAAGATCGAAGGAGATGTGTCATTACCCGGGTGAAAGAGGGGATAAGATTCCTTACGTGTTGGGAATGGGCGGAGTATCGATCTCGATCTTGCCCGTCTGACGGTAGAGCAGGAAAATGTAGCGATGGAGACCAGTGCCCTCGGGAGGGCCACTTCCGATATAGGCCGCTACAGGTTGACCCTTTGACAGGTCGCTGCCCGGAATGTTAACCACGGCCCAGTGCAAGATCTCGCGTAACTTGGGCTCCTGTCGGGACGGAGCATCCGGATCCACCATTAGCAGAGTTATCAGATCGGACTCCCCTGCGAGGCCATCCCAAGTCACACTCGGCTGATCCTTCACCTGGGTGGGGGTCAGCTCGTTGCCCTGCTTCACCGCATTGCCCTCGCCATAAATGACCTGGATATCACCAGCGGGAACCGCATCCACAACATCGGGAACTATGTCATCCATGGTGTTACGTGTAACGTGTCCGTCGAAAAAAAATGACTCTACTGTTTTTTGGGGCTCTTATCACTCCACTGATGACCGAGCCGGCTGGGTGATAACAAAAGCAAAAGCTTCAGCGGATGTCTTTCGGCTTGGTTTTATTAAAATTTCCAGTTCCAATTAATTAGTATCTGGATGTTGAGAAGCCCCAAGGTTACTCGGTTGCGCTGGCAACAGCTGCAACACCAACAAATAATAGTTTTATGAACACACCAGGTAAAACTTTATCGCGATTTATTGACTGATTGGTCGGTCGGTCAGCCAGTGCTACGACATTGATTCGTCTTCAATGGAAAATTGTGAAAAGCCCTTCGACGATAGCCCAGAGCTTTCATGCTAACTGGCATTATTTAGGCAATTTTTACTAAAAAAGCAAAGATCACTGAAACAAACTGAGCTGACGATGGCCGGATGAGTCACTGCTTAAAACTAGTTCCCTCTTCTTTTGGTAAAAACATTAATTACTTACAATGGGGCTTTGTACCACAGTGCACACCTGATAGCAAAGACAGTACTTGTGGGGATCATAAAGTCGTCTATCCTTCATTTATGGGGTTGTAATTGTATTTTTGCTTTTTTTATTGGGAGCAATCCGTGTCATCAATCTATCATCTGATACCAATAGGATATTATAGGCAGGCTAGAGGGAAAAATATATGTTCTAAATTACGTTTTTGAGGTAAAAATATCTTAAGTTTGAAGATAAGTATCTTAAATCTGTGCTTAAAATGTATACCTTTGCAGGCTATTACAATTTTAGTCAGAATTTTGCAACGCAGACACAGGATCCCAACCCTATAAAGTATATACATATGTATACTCTTCATTAGCATTAACAGCCGAGTCGATCTAGCCATGTCAGTTTCTAACTAGTCCCTTAGTTTTAAAGCTATCTGAATAAAACTTTGAAGATAGTCTTCTGACTATTCAGGTCGGATCGGCCGACTATATCATATATCTGCCATAAGAACAATCGGAACATTTGTAAACAGAAATTATTGCTTCATTGTTTTTAAATATATTTTCATATACTTTGAGATATGGCCATTTTTTATTATTTCAGTTTTATATTTATAAAAATCGGACAATTATATCATATAGCATAGGAACGAACGGCAGAAGTAGAGAAAAATGTAAAAACTGAAAATTGAAAACTGCAAGAGTATAAAAACTTCGGTATGCCGAAGTTAACTTCTTTTCTTGATTTCTTGAATTTTAAATTCCCTTAAGGGGGGGGTAAGGTTAATTCGGTGCAAAAATGCCCACTTTTCAAAAAAATGTTGTGGCGAAACGGCTAAAGCTAGCTTAACGAATTAAATACCATATAATAACACAACATTTGAACAGTTTGTGATAAATTTTGTATTGAAAAATATTTAGAGGTAGAGGAGTTATAGGGAATCTCCCGAGTCGCCTCCAAAAAAGTTGGTTTGCGGTGTACATCCTAACTGTCCACAGAATCATCCGATCTACAAAAATTATACCTCATTCGTTAAAGGATAAGTGTCCCGAGGTATTCTCGAAGCGTTTTTATTTTTAAAATTTTTTCCCTATTTTTTATCAAAATTTGAAGTCAAAACCCCGATTTTTGACTAAAAAATTAAGTTAATTTGTTAAATAAAAAATATAAGAAAATTAAAAATTAAAAAAAGCTCGACGAGAATACCTGTAGAATTATCTAAAGAAGTTATGTTCCAAATTTCAAACCGATTGGTTCAGTATATTTTTAGTTATCGTGTACACCGATTTTCAAAATGGCATTTTTCAGGAGAGCGCTTTAAACTTTGTGATTCTCATGCATTGAACACCAGACGACCTTCGTTCAACTCCGCATAACTTCGTCAATTTTACTTTGATTGATGTAAAACTTGGACACAATATTCTTAAGATATTGAACTTTTAAAATAAAAAATAAAAAAAAATTTACGAAAAAAAAAATTAAATACCTTACCCCCCCCTTAAACTATTCAGAGCAACGTTGGCAAAAGATAAAACTTTCGCAGCCATGAAAACTGATCCTCATGTGCGTTGGACTACACACACATGATTGTTTGAGCAATCTCGTGAAAACGCCGTCAAATCATTTAGCAGCAGCTAAAACACTCCTTTAGTATATATATCATGCTATTTATTAAACAATTCGAATATTATTAACAATTGAATATCAATATCGATAGCGCTGACAGAGAGTTTTGGTCTATTAAATACGTTTAGTTGCATTTATCGCCTTTGTTCTTTGCACAATGAAAATAATGATTAATATATGTATATATATATATTTATAATACGATAATACAAATAATAAGAATTGTGAAAACGTGAGCGTGAGATTTGAGAGGCGTCCCGCGACGCGTATAAAACAACATACTTTACAATTACATAGAGTAGGGTAAATAATAGTACCTAGTGGTATGTCTATGGGGAACACGGCCCGCCCGCATAACCAGTGCGCGCGGAGGCTGTGTGTGCGGTGTATACGGCAATATATGGACCCGCTATTCGGGCGGCCGCTGGCCTTGCTGGAACTAATCTTGGAATACATTAACTGCTGGTTCAATTTGATTGAGGAAATACCAATAGATGCGGTAGCACGTTCTCCTTTCATTTCGTTAAATTCAACTGTGATACATCTGCTCCGTGATGGCTGGCCGCTGGCCGATTTAGCAGCGCGTCTCGTACAGGCCGCTGCGTCCGATGTAACGCACCCATTTGACCACGTCGTGGTCGGAGTAGTTGAGCTTCGGCTCAAACACCTTCAGGTAGCGCACCTTGAATCCGGATGGCGCGAACGGTACCTCGAAGTTCATGGAGATGGGTGGCCGGGTCCACTTCTTCTTCGTGTCAGTCTCGAGCAGTTCGATCTCAGCCGAGAGTTGCGTCTCCTTCATGCCCGCCATGCGCTTGATCTTCCACACGATGGCGTTCTCCGAGGCCTTGTACTTGGCCTTCCCCTTGAGGCAGATGAGCTGCACTCCCGAGGTGTTCAGCGGCGTGGGAATTTTCACTTCGATCTTCTGGCCCAGCAGCGAGGGCTTAAAGTTGGATTTCAGCACCACTTTAACCTCCATCTTGGTGCGACCCACCTCGCGCACCAGAGGAATGACGCGGAATGGCAGTGAAATGTCTTTGGTGGTGCGGTAGCGCATCAGCTCGAACTCCCCATCCGGCGGGATGAAGCTGATCGAGTGCTCCGTCTCGAACTTGCTCAGCTTGACGCACTGATGGAACTGGCAGTCGTCGATTACCACAACCGGCTTGCCGGAGCGGGAGGTTTCCGCCTCGGAGTTGCCCGAGAGACCGCGGCCCTTGGACTCCATAACGATCTTGTCGTTGATGCCGAACTTGCACTCCGGCATGCCTGCAAAGTGGAATTGTAGAGCTAAAGGTCTCGCTTACACTAAGTTTATGGCTACTAACCCGACAAGTAGGACTTCATCACCACCTTGCCGGCCACATGAGCGGACAGCACCTGGCCCTGGGGGCTCATCAGCAGGTTCACGTACTCCAGGACGTCCAGGAACAGCTCGTTGCGCCTGTACTTGATTCCCTCGCGGCGCCAGCCAATCTGGCCAGTCACCTGAGAGGTAATCTGCATCTGCTCCTCCTTGGTGGCCGACTTGATGCCCTGCTGCGTGATGAAGGTCTTCAGCGTGCCGGAGTCCGTGTTCTGCGGATACCCAAAGTCCAGGATCTCGTCCAGCAGCTCGTAGATGAGCACGAAGTTGTTCTTGATGTTCTCCTCGGAGATCTTGCCGAAGTACGACTGCATCACCTCGATGATCTTCAGCAGGAACTCGAACACCATGGCGGCGTTCACATTCTGCTTGGTCACAGCCGCCAGCCAAATGTTCGCACGCTGCAAGCGATAAAAGATGGGATGATGACGAATATCCGGCGGGCGTTGCTGGGCCTAAGGCTCACCTTGATGTGGAAGAAGCTGGTCCGGGCAATGTTCGTCACTGGCGAGCGGACCTGCTGGCGGGCGTGGATGACGTTGACCCGAAAGGCGTCCACGGCATTGCGCCCGATGTCGTCGCGATAAACTCGCGAGATCAGCACCTCGCCCTTGTGGTTGTAGACGAACAGGCCACCGATCATCTTGTGCGCTGTCTGCTGGTTACTCTGTCCACCTGTTTGGAACCTGTACGGAAAGTTTGCCTCCAAAGGATTCGCACCGAGCTCCAAGCGAAAATTTTTATCAGAAAATCAATTTCACTCCCCTTTAGTGTGACCGTTGGCGCAGATAAAAATGGGGCTTTCCCTAAAAAATCTCAAAAACCCAGAGTTGCTGGTATTTTTAGCACCATCAATCAAAACTGCTTTGTCAAAACAAGGTACTGCTTGCCGGCGAGATTTTAGCCCAACGGTCACACTGTGTTTTTTTCGGCCGTCCGGCAACGCTGCGCCCTGATACAGCACAATTTCTCAATCTCTCAGCGAAACAAAGCCAAATATCCGAAATGCCTGCCGAAAACCTGGAGGAGCAGGGCCTGGAGAAGAACCCGAACCTGGAGCTGGCGCAGACCAAGTTCCTGCTGACCTTGGCAGAGTACAAGCAGGATGCGGCCCTGAAGTCGAAGCTCCTGGACGCCATACGCGCGGACAACATGGCTCCGTGGTACGAGCACATCTGCACCGAACTGGGCTGGGCCGTGGACAAGGACCTGCTTGCCCGGATGAAGGAGAACAACCGCGTGGAGGTGGAGCAGCTGGACGCGGCCATCGAGGACGCAGAGAAGAACCTGGGCGAGATGGAGGTGCGCGAGGCAAACCTGAAGAAGTCAGAGTTCTTGTGTCGCATTGGTGACAAGGCCGCGGCCGAGACTGCCTTCCGGAAGACCTACGAGAAGACCGTCTCGCTGGGCCACCGCCTGGACATCGTGTTCCACCTAATCCGCCTGGGACTGTTCTACCTGGACCACGACCTTATCACACGCAACATCGACAAGGCCAAGTACCTGATCGAGGAGGGCGGCGACTGGGACCGTCGCAACCGCCTGAAGGTCTACCAGGGCGTCTACTCGGTGGCTGTGCGCGACTTCAAGGCGGCTGCCACCTTCTTCCTGGACACAGTTAGCACCTTCACCTCCTACGAGCTGATGGATTACCCCACATTCGTGCGCTACACCGTGTACGTGGCCATGATTGCACTGCCCCGCAACGAGCTGCGCGACAAGGTGATCAAGGGCTCCGAGATCCAGGAGGTGCTCCACGGCCTGCCCGACGTCAAGCAGTTCCTCTTCGCGCTGTACAACTGCCAGTACGAGAACTTCTACGTGCACCTGGCCGGAGTGGAGAAGCAGCTGCGCTCGGACTACCTCATCCACCCCCATTACCGCTACTACGTGCGCGAGATGCGCATTCTCGGCTACACTCAGCTGCTTGAGTCCTACCGCTCCCTCACCCTACAGTATATGGCCGAGGCCTTCGGCGTCACTGTGGACTACATCGACCAGGAGCTGGCGCGCTTCATCGCCGCCGGACGGCTGCACGCCAAGGTGGATCGCGTGGGCGGCATCGTGGAGACCAATCGGCCCGACAACAAGAACTGGCAGTACCAGGCCACCATCAAGCAGGGCGATCTGCTGCTCAACCGCATCCAGAAGCTGAGCCGCGTGATAAACATCTAAGGTAGTCTCGTAAAAAGGGGTTTATTCAAATTCAACATTTATTACAGTGTAAAGCTAATGCAACGTACAATAATAAAAACGATAAAAACTCATGGAAATGCTCTAGTAAATTGCACGCGCACGCTCGCCTATGTAGTAACTAAATTCTTTGGAATCCTTTGTCCTGGTTACGCCGTCTTTAGTGTATTTGAGTATTATTGCAATCATTCCATTTTTGTACTTAACTGTCCCTAATCCTATGGAGGCGCTCATTGCGCATCGCCCTCGCTCTTCCCCTTCCACGACGGCTCCTCTTTGGACTCGTGGGCGTGGCTGCTGCCGGATTCGGTGCCCGGGAAGGCGATGGAGGGCTTGTTCTGGGCCATAAAGTTGCGAGCCATCTCCTCGAGCGCCGCCGAGGAGCGAAGCCCGCAGTCCAGCGGTTCATCATTCAGCTCCTGCGCCCGCTGCTGATGCTGATGCTGTTGCTGCTGCTGCTCCGCTGATGCCTTGGCCATGTCGTGCAAATTCTGGACCAAGGCCTCGGGCACCATGGGCAGGGCAGCCAAGTTAGCTAGATTGTGACGCCGCAAGTCGGCCAGGCGATTCGTGCTCAGGTTGATCAAGGCGTTCATCATCACCTTGTTGCGCTGGTAGTCCTTGCGCAGGTGCTGGCGGATCTCCGTGTGGCAGTGCTCGTTGTTCGTCACGATGATTTCGCCGGTGTCCGTGGTGGTCACGCGGGCCTTGCAGTTGAACTTGCGCGACAGGTTGCACTGCCAGTACTTCTTGTCCTTGCGCACGTACTGGATGCCGAAGGTGTGCCCGTCGTGGACCAGCAGCGGCTTGCCGCGCTGGCTGAGCATGAACTCCAGCTTGCCCTGGAACCAGTGCTCGCCGGGTGCGACTACAAGATAGGACGAGAAAACTGGTGAGGATCGGTACGGATCGAGTCGGCTGCTCCGATGAGTATGTCTAGAGTTGAACTCTACGCTCCATCTCTCTATCGGTTATGTGTTTTGTTTTGGATGCGCCAGGACGTACACGAATGAGCCCAATTATGTGTGTGTGTGTTTTTGTGTGTATATGTGTGTGTCATGCAATTTACTTACCTGCCAGGTGGTGGTTAGGAGGATGCGTAGAATAAAAGCAAATCAACTTGGACCGGATATTATGGATAAAGAAATCTCCTTTTTACAAAGTACAATGCTGTACGAATGTTAATATTCTTTTTCGATCCATTTTCTTGTAACAATTAACTTAAACTTGGAAAATTATTTAAATGTATAAATTTTAAACATTATTTTAATTGTGAATATGTGTTAAGAGCTCGTAAATAACAGTCTGGTTTAATATAAAAATCCAGATTTACGCAATCATTGCTTATCTTGAAAGAGCTATAATTCGTTTTTTTAAGAAAACATTGATAATCAATATTCACGGTTCCTAAAAAACTCGAATCTTTAAATTCTCCTAATATCAGGTCCAATTTGAAATGCAATTACAAATTTTCTACGCCCTTGCGGTTAGTGGCTGTATGAATACCCACAGATATACGCACAGGGCCACGAAACATATCCAAAATTGCAGTGGTTAGCTTAATCTGGGATTCATTTCACAGCACCCCATTGGCTGGTTCTTTTTGGTTTATCAATTCGCATTAGTTTATAAAATACAATATGCACATCGGTACTGGTATATACAACATGGGTTACTCTTCTCTCGAATCAAATTCAATTGTCTACTACAAACTCTAGCTAGGCAAAAATAAATTACTCCTCCTCTGGCCAGGGGCAGTGTGTACGGTAGGACAGCCTTACATGTTCTCCATCTTGAAGCTGTGCCTGCTGTTCGGGGATATCGTAATGGAGTTGATAACGTGCGCGGTGCCAGGATCCGTGGCTCCCTCCGCGGCGACCACCTCCTGCTGCTGTTGCTGCTGCTGCTGGTGAGGTTGTTGCTGCTGCTGCTGTTCATCCACCGGCTGGGGCGGCGGACTCTGTGCGTGGAGGGAGTGACTACTGCGATTGGACTGTGGGCTCTGTTGCACATGTGCCGGCGATAGCAGCACTCCTCCGGCCCCAGATCCCCCTCCCATTTCCAGATGGTGCTGTTGTGCAGGCGGAGGATTGTGAGGCGAGTGCTGCTGCTGTTGCTGCTGGAGGTGATGGTGGTGCGTCTGCGGCTGCAGATGCATCAGATTCGGGTTATGCATAAGACTAGCCGACCCACCGTGCTGCTCCATATGCGGCGGCGCCGGATGCTGCTGAACCAGAAGATTGGGCAGCGCCTGCCCGAGGTGATGATGATGGTGCGGATGTTGTGGCCCAGCTGCTCCAGGAATTACTGCTGGAGGGGGTGGCGGTGGAGGCGTCTGATTGGCAAACATGTTGCTCACTCGGTTCCCATGCTGCAGATCCGCGCCCAGATGTCCACCTCCGTCTGCCAAGGAATAACTCGTTTGGCTGGGATTCGAGGCGGAATTTAGGGATACTGGGGACCCGGCCACTGATGCCGAAGCAGTGGCTGGCGCTGCTGCTGATCCCTGACCACCGCGCATGTGCGGCGTGTGATTGTGCACGCCCGTCGCGGAGATAATCCTGCCCAGGTGGGTTATGCAGCGCGCCCGGCACATGCTGATCCGGTACGACTTGCACAGCCAGTAGGTCTTCATGCCCTGCTGCGTGGCCACCGTGTTGTTGCGGTTGAACACGCAGTTGCCGTGCAGCAGCGAGGTGGTGGACAGCATCACCATGTTGCTGCCGTCTGCTCCGACGACACGCCACAAACAAACGGACAATGGTGTATCATTAGTGGATAGTTCTTCGCTGGAGCGCTTAACGGGTGTTATTTACAGGTGGGAAGGAAAGGGGGCGGGCGGTTCAAGCTATTCGGTGGTGGGTAGTGGCTGAGGTTGGTGGAGTCGTACTGCCCCACGTGGAGTATGCAATTGGGGAGTGCGTGTTCTCGTGTCTGTGCGGTTTTAGTTAGGCGTTAGAAGAATCCATAGCCCATTCTATAGTTTTAACTAAAATTTACTACTTGAAATGGTTTTAAAAGCTCAAAAGTCAAGATGATATTAAATGAATTCACTTGGTAAAGATGCATCGAAATATTTGCTGCCCTTGCTGGGTATTATAATCTCCGTCAAAAGCTAGTGGCGGAGTGAAGACTGACTCCTTCGACCCTATTAATCAATATATTCTTGATAAGCATCAACAGGAGAGCCAATCTTACATGGCAGAAACAATAAGTACAAACTTTAAGACAATTTTATAAGGTAGTAGTGTAGTATGTAGATTGGTTAACCTAGGAAAAACTAGAAAAGAAAAGCTGTCCGAATTGAATTTTGCCTTTTTGGCTTTTGACAGCAACATTTTTATATAAAAATATGGATAAATACATATTTAAACAATTCAAATGTTTCCTGTCTTTTTGTAGGGTCGGTGAAGGAGTAATTTTCGACTCCATAAATCATATACATATATTGATATTGATAAGCATCAACAGCCGAGTCTTTCTATGTCCAGTAAAATACAAAAATTCTACTTTTTTGTCGAACTTTTATAAATTAGCAAAACATTTAATTTTTTAAATTTTAAATTCAGTGTGCAGTTTTAGTAGCTTTATAAAAACTAGAACAAAAAAGCTAAACGAATTGAAATTAGAATAGGTTTAAAAACTTGAACGTTCCGAAGTTAACTATCTTTCTTGTTCTATATAATTAAATTCCCAACAAAGAATCTTTTTCGAATTTCTTTGTCACGCAAACTAAATATAAAACTGCACATGTTTAAAAACTTAGTGAAAGCTTGCTTATAAAAAATTATTACTACGTTTTCTCAGGAATCGAACTACACCTTCTTCAACCCTGATGAAAAAATAACTCCAGAAGCCTATCTGTCTACCACAATTGGATCTTGACAACAATGAAAGCCATCAGTTGTTTATCTAACTACACCTTCGGTTCGAGTACGTCTGCTTAAGACTTTTACCCCAGTTAAATCAGCAAATATCCCTCTACAATCAATAGCGGCTTTGTTAGTTTTTCCATTTGGTTCCATTCCTGGTTAGGAGGGGGCAGTGTGATCAGTGATCAGTGGGCTAGTGGGTACGTGGAATGCATGATGATGTTATGCGGGCGGGCCGATGATGATGGATGCAAACCAAACCCAGTCTTATAGAAAATAAAATGATAAATATAAACGAAAGCCAAGCTATGTATGTGCATGCAACAGAAAAGTAATCAAAGAAGGCCAAAAGGCGCACAAATGGGGGCCACCTACTTGAGGGTATGTCCATGTGATTGGCAAAGTTCTTGGAGTAATCGTTGGGCATGAACAGCTCGTTGGGATACTCCGTTCCCGAGCCGAGGGGTCCATTGTTGCTGATGCCTCCGGGTCCGCCTGAGTTGTTGGAGCTGCCGCTGGGTCCGCCTCCGCCGCCGCCGCTGTTCCCGCTGTTGTAGAACTTATAGTTGTCCAGGTTGAAGGCCGGCGCAAAGGGATTGCGTATGGCTGTCGCCGACGAGGCTGAGGAGGTTAGGCTGCCAATGCTGCCCGAGCTCCCGGCACCGCCCGACGAGGGCCCGTGGTGGAGGCCATCCGATTCACGCTTCAGTCCGAGATCATAACGCGGCTCCACCATGGAAATGTGCGGGATGGGGGGCATAAAGAACTCTTGTGTGTTCAGGGCGTTCTCCATTTCAGAGCCATTGTCCGTAGTCTCGGCTCCGCCACCGTCGCTTCCACTGGAGCCGTGGTCCTTTAGCGAGCGCCTCAACTGTTTTCCCGAGTAAATGGACAGGGAATCGTTGCCAAAGTCCGACGGCGCCGTGCGTTTGCTAGCCGTGTACAGGTGGCTACTGGCTTCGTTGGAGGCTCTGCTGGCACCGCCAGGAGAGGCGTTCCGCGAACTGCTCTGTCCCTTGCTCTCGTTGTGATCCGTTTCCGATTTGCTATTATTATTGCTATTAGAGTTTGTGTTGTGATTGTTGTTGTTGTGGGTATTGCTGCTGGTATTGGGCGATTCTTCCGTCTGAGGCGTCTGACTAGTGGACTTCTCCGAGGCACTGGAGCCCGGCGAAGAGTTGGAGTTGGTGGCCAGACCCTTGATCTGCAGCAGCTGGCCAATCTTCATGAAGGACTGCAGTTCCGTGTGCTTGACATTTACCACTCCCTGGTACATGAACTCCAGCAGCTCCAGCATGATGTTGAAGCTCACATCTTTGAGTATTACTGCAAGGAATTGGGAATTTTTAAAGAATTTAATAGGCGGAATATTTTAAAAAACTTTGGAGGATTTTTTAAAATTCTCTGAGATTACTGACGCGTGGTTTTATGAGTTCCCCTGACCAAAAACCCAAAAACATGATTCAACGTAATTACTTGTTTACATAAAGACTCGGGATCGGCAATAACATCACTAGGAAAGGAGGTCACACTCGGCGTGGAGATGTTATCATCGAAACGCTCAAATACTAAATCAATACATAAAAACACAGCTACGATAAGAAATCTGAAAACTTAAATATAAACTCAACAACAGCGCAGTAGCTCAGCAGCAGCCGTAATTATAAAATAAGCAGCATGGAATATGTATCATGGGCGAGCTGAGCTCTCGACACGGCCTAAGAAACTGTCAGGGGATCTGCTCCACAGTGGAGCGGATCTATTATGCCATATTCCCTTTAACATTAAATAGTTTTCTTATTTGAGACATTAAACATATCACTATTATGAGCGGAAACGGTTCTAAGAATTTTGGGTTCTTGAGATTAATTTTAAACTCTTTCCAGGAAAAATAAGCGGCAGCTGATCACAAGCCATTAAATTACTGAATCTGTTACATACTAAAAATCAATATACTCTTAATTGAATCAAAAAACACAAGTTTGCTCATGTTTTCTGGTGCTCACAGTATCAAGTGTGTTTCAGTCTTATTAAGTATACAAATAACCCTTAATTAATGAATAATGAATATACTTTTGTCCCGGCAACTATACAGATGAGCATCATCTGATCAGATCACTGCGCGGGATCCTTATCAGTACTTTCCCCCATCATCATCCCCTGCCCACTGTGCCTGTCTCTCGCAGCATCAACATCTAGTTAAAAACAATATTATCACTTGTTCTCAATAACAATTTTATTACACAAACACCCGAACAGATCTTGGTACGAGTGTGTATGTAAATATATGTTAAATCGACGATCAGCAACAGACAAACTCGGTTGCTTAATCTGACCGCCGCCCGACGACATCAATTGTGCCTATCATTTGCCGTAGTCGTCATTACGGGACGTTTTGTCTCTCGCCTATCTATCTATCTGCGCCTTGGCATGTCCGTGTTCGTCCGAGTGATCGCATGGCGAAGATCAAAATCCGGGGTACAGTACGGAGCCGAGCTTGACTGCTCTGATGCCGGATAGATACGTGATTACATATGCATAGTGCGGGGGGGAAGGGAGGTACTATCAATCGTATTAGTTCTGCGCCGTACAGAAGAGTCAGGACAGATACACTCCGAGCATCGCCGGAGATAAAGACCGGGCGGCCCTGGATCAAGACAAAGAGATCAACACACTGAACTCTCGATCTCTCTCTCGAATCAATAAACCGTTTATGGGCTTCGGGCTGTAGATAAACTTTGTCTAAAGTTCACGGAGAACGTGATAAATCCGTGACTGCTGCTGCGGCTACTGATAAGGAGATCGACAGCGCCCAAAAGACCGAGTCGAGCATCTCCGCGAGAGCTCAGTCATCAGATCCTCGGGTCTCGATCACTGTTTGCTTAAATGCATGCCATGCTTCCCAAGAAACATTTAATGGGCGCCTGACCCGCTGTGATCTTCGCTGATATCAGAACGGTTCGTAAATAGATCGAGGGTACTGAGATTTGGGGCTGGGGAATTGGAACTGCAGCGATATCTTCCTTAGCTCGGTTTCGTTTTGTTTCGGCCCCGGTGAGATCACGCCCACTCCACACGCTTCCACCAATCGGATCGCAGGCGATCGATTTCGAAAACAATTTTATTTTATGATTATGATAAATGTTTATCGAATCAGAACGCCCATAGGCTCTGTTGTTGTTGTTCCCCCGGCGAGCAGTTGGGCGCGCTAGTGGAGTGGCCTGCCTCATTTTGACAATGTCGTCGCACAAACATTCATAAATATTGGTTATCTCCGAACGCCATAATAGTCGAGTAGTCGAATCGAATCGAGTCGTCGCGCTGGTAGTAGTACAACCTGATAAAAACCAAGAAGCCCAGCGACAGCGAGAAGGCTGGCCTTAAGGTTCCTCCTATTCCTATCCCTATTTATATTTTTCGCTTCCCTTACCAATTCTCTGTGAACCTATGTATGTCCCCAACTGGCCCAGGGATTAGTCCAGCTTAGCCGATTGCCCCGTCTATTTGTGGCTACTGGGTACGGGTTACGGGCTGTGGGCTACGGCTGGGCCCCATAAATTACGAATTGTCAACACAAATGGCCAATAAAAGCATTTATGAAATTTCGTATGCTCAAAGTCAAAGTTTGATATAATATGAAGAGACCATAAACTGCTCACTCCCGTACGTAAGCAGCGATTAATGCGATCGATTGGGTAAGGCCAGAAGCGGAAACAGTAGAAGGGTTCCAATAAATTCGATAATACCAATAGGTTTCTACCAATACGGGAATACTTAAAAGGGGCAACAACATATTGCCAATGGTTCTTTTAAGAGAAGTCTTTGGAAGTACATTTTTGTATATTTATTCTAAACTATTCACTTTCATTAATATTTAGTTTAACTATTTTTCCAACTTGTAATATGTAAACTGTGACGAATTTTTAAATATATATTTTATATATGATATTTTCTAAATAAATATATGTTATGTCTCTTGCGAATTAACTCCTTAAACTTTAACTAAATTAGAGATATTCCAATAAATGATATATTTATAAAAATCACTGATCTTCCCAAGAGAAACCATTATAAAGCATTTTTGATAATCTCTGAAAAGGCTATGGCTTCCAAATAAACACATTTAAGATTAAGCGCCTTGAAAGTCCGAAAACTCAAAGTTCAGAATGTCTGAAAATGGATTAGTTTCTTGAAATAAACAGTGCAAAATTGTTTACCCCCTCTGGAGCATACTGAAAACAAAAAACTCGACGTCTTTGCTTTAGTCACGGTCCGGCAATATATTAATAACATTGGGTATTTAATATTTACGACAAGTCCATCGATCGATATTATATTATCTTTCCGGACCCGAACCGTTTATGACTGGTAAGCAACCGCGGCTATATTCGATCGCCGTGGCTACTTGAAATCGTGAATGGCAATGGGGCGCGGGGGATACGGACTGCGGCAGTAGAAGCCCAGTGGCTTGGAGCCCGTACTTGGAGAGGGCCCAATATCACACATGGCACATGGTCCGGTTGTCTGAGTGCGTTATCTAACGAGCAATAAGTTCAAAATCTTATTTTACGATCAAGAGAGTGATACCCAAAGTAAAGTGGCTGGCACTAAACGCAAGGCTGATAAAACACTGCCCCCAGACGATGTCCGTCTTGTTTATGCCAATAATAAATAGATAATTTTCGAGGATTAGCATTGTATTGGGTTGGGTTGGGTTGGGCTGGGCAGGCGTAGATATAACCACTCGACCACTTGGCCCGGACGGAGTGGATTGATTTACACGGCCTCAGCAGCGGAAACAGCAACTAAGCAGCAATGACTGCAACAACCACACGAGCCCTCTAATCAATATCTCGAAAACTGAAGTCTCCGGAGTCCGGACGGAGTGGAGGTGGCGACTGGTGGGGACCCAGTTGCTCAGTTGGGCAATAAATGATTGTTAAACGCGATAAAAAGATAAAAATATTTAGACTATTGTTGTTGCTGCGTGTTACACACACGACGAACAATGGGGAGACACACAAAGCAACATCGGGAACGCCGAACGCCATTTGGCTTGTTAGCACCTCGATGACTGGTGTTGTTGCCTTGTTTGTTGGTTTATTTTTAATAACTTGCCCCCGCTTGCGCCTAGCGTTATTTATAGGGTATATTAATATTCTTTATCTTTGGAAATACCTCTTGTAGCAGCGCTCAGTTGCGGGTTTGGTAGGTAGCACCTTTCTGCTGCTACTTGAAAAGATAAAACCTTATTTTTTATTGCCGCCTGATCAGATAAAGCCACCGTGCAGCAGGCAGCCGTGTTCAACACGACCGCCAACAAAATCGGGCCGAACAGAAACAGGAGGGGTCGGTCGGTCTGTCCCGGCGATATCATATCCATATACCATATATACTACCACCGTTCTAGAGTCCATTTGAAGTACATTTGATGAGGTCAGCAACGCACCCAATCTCCCCGATCCGGTCGAAGTGGGGCTCTGGGTAGAGCTCTCGCCGTGCACCTTATCACGGTGCATATACCTCCTATGCGTGGCGTGTGTAAACAATGCGAGCGCTGATCTAGAGGTGGAGGACTCCTGCAGCTACCACATAGCCATAATAGACAACGTGGCGGCAGCCCTGCTCGCTGGAGGAGGATTATCATAAGACCTCGATTCTTATTAGGTTGCTGCTGTTTGTCTTTAGATTTACGACCTTTCTGCAGCTTGAACGCGATGATAGACACGAAATTGACAAAGAATAAACTGGGAAGCTTTTAATGGTTTTAACTAAGCTCTTCTTGGAATTTAAAAAATCAACTAATTCTCCCTATTAAAAATGTTCAGCAAGTAATTTTAAAGAATTTCATTTTATGTTTGTTTAAAGATCTCAGCCGTTATAAATATATATTTAATGGGTAATTAAAAATTATGACACAGAAAAATGTCGTGTTTATTTAATAAGAATAATCTTTACATTTTTATTTGACATTTAAAATGTGGGTTTTTTTAATTTTCTCTAGAAATTTTGCAAATTTTATTCTGGTTTCTATGAAATAAGTTTTCTGCTTATTTTTATTACAAATATGTATGCTTTTAAAGTTATTAAATTGATTTTAGAATTAAACACCTTTAATGCATTTATTATCCTGTTCTTTTTATTCAAATATTAAAGTTTATATCCCTTGGAAAAGCTTCAACTTACTTTTTAATTAATCAATGCCGATCGATCATCGTTTTAGATCTGTTTTTTTGTAGTGCCTATAAACATTAATTGATTACTTTTATGAAATTAATCATAGTGAAACAATTTTCTTGGAGTTTTAAAGAAACTAATTTAAAGGCTTCTCCTACTAGTCTTTCAGTTCGACAGTTTTAACTGCTCCCAAATCATCTTTTCGGAATGAGACCCCAAAGTCGACTTGTGTTTGGAGTGGAGCAGACCCTGCACGTGCGGCAGTGGGCCGGGGACTCGAAGTGGAACCCAACCTGGAGGTACAAGTGGAAGTGGGAATGGAGGAGGAGGTGGAGCTGGCCTGATAACCAACGAATGTGTCATGGAATTAAACCCAAAGGTTGATTTATATCTAAGCGACTGACAGCAGTGACGAGCAGACAGGCTGACGTGAGGGCTCCAGCTCCGGTGCCCGATAAACGGACACCTAGTGATCCAGTGATGAACTGACCAAAATAAGCGGGAACCGGCGGCTCATTGAGGAAGTACTGGACCCAGAAAAGCTGATACAATGGAGGACAAACTGTCGCAGGTTGCGAACCAGTGATGACCGGTGGCAAAGGCGTCAATTGCTTGGACAAACAGAGACATGGGAAGCGGATGCCGCCGCTAGAGCGGGTACTCACTTATGGGATGCTGGCAGGGATTGGTGGTGAATATCTCCTGGAAGTAGGGGCTGCATATCGCCAGCACTATCTTGTGCGCCTGGAGCAGCTTTCCATCGCAGGCGAGGGTCACATCGACCAGGTCTCCGCGGTCGTAGAGGTTCTGGAAGCCGCTGGCTATGTTGTCCTGGAAGTTCTTCCAGCAGAGCTTGAACTCGTCGTCCATGGCGGATCCGCGCCAGTCTCGGGCAAATCAGACTTTTTCCAATTGAATAGCACAGACGATTTTGCTATTCTCGTGCGAATCTGTTTTTTATGGCTTTTGTTTATCCGCTTTCGCCGTGATTCGTTCACTGTGGGCCTTCGCTTTGCGGCCAAAAATCACTATTCACGCCTTCTCACGCACTCTCTGCTACTCCGCTCTCTTGGTTTTGTTTGTTCCAAGCGCTGCTTAATCCGCGTTCACGCGCTCACGATCTCGAGTCGTCCGCGTCCACAGGCGCATTGATTTGATTTCGGCTCTAATTAACACAGTGTGATTTAAACATTTTATCGGATGGCGTGAAAAGCAGCGACGCTGTTTACGTTCCGGCTGATAATGAACCCCTCCGCTCCCCGCCTCTTGCACGTCATGTGTGAACGTGAAAACGTGGCTTTTCTGCAGCACGGCAGGGCGGTCACACTAGGTGTTAGAATTTCATTGCGAAAAAGAGTGCAATGAAGGAACACCAAATAAATTTATTTAATATAATTGTATCTATTTTCGAGAGCATTTCAGATAAAAACCTACATGTGTTAGTAAAGATATTAAAATACACATTTTATATAATTTTAATGTTCTCCTAATAGGGCGGACATACTAGATGTGATGATAAAAAGAATAATGTTTTTTGTTTATAAATTTGATGATATCCCAATTCAGCCGGTAAAAGCTTGTATTGCTTGGAAAATCACGGGAACAGTAAAATTTTCCATGGTTATTAACGGTTTTCCATTGTTTTTCAAAGCTAGCGCGGAGCCAATTACCCGTTTCAATCGATACACAAGTCGATAGACGATTCATTTGTCAATTGAATTTTTAGCGCCAACTACAAAGCACTATAAACTGTTTTGCCTGATAAGGGCTTATCTTAATTGGCTGGTTCGGTTCTTCGTTCCAGGAGTATACGACTGCAGTGTGCGCTTTTTTCATAGTTAGGAGCTCATTTCCTACGGGTTCATGTGGCCGACGAAGAACTATAATGTGATAGCTGGCCTGCCCACGGTCATAAATAACCCACTTTACATTTTAAACAAAAAGAGAATAAAAGTAACGGCGGCTTATCAATTAGCCATGAGTCGTTTGCACGCCACAGGTGCACACATACGCATTCGCCGTCAATTGGCCACCGATTTGATTTGCCTGATTTAGTGCTCAAAGAACTTTCAGCAAATTGGCCCACTCGCCCCGAGGAGTATTCAAGAGCATATCATAATGGGTTGTTGTTTAGGTAAGTGATTTACACGTACATATCTGCATAAACAACGGCGGCTAACGACGAAATTTGTACAGGTACGAGTAAATCTGTCGATTTGCCACCTGTTCCACCGGCACCGGGCAAGCAGCGCTCGACTTTGCCGGAATTCCCAGTCTCTGGAAACGTGACCACAACTCCTCCTGGAGGATCTGGATTTAATGGAGTCACTAATGCGGCCCTGGAAGACGACTAGACCTGGATAAATCAGTAATTCAGCCCAAGAAAATGATTACGTAGAGGGAAAATTTGTAAATGATCAATTAGCAGATTCGATGAGTCACTATCGTGCTGGAAGTCGGTTTCTCAGTTGACGAACTCTCGTACTTATAGTTTTAGTAAAAATATGTTCTTAATTGTTGTCAAAATATAAAACTAATGATAAACTAAGCTCGTTCCTAATCTATCCGGGTTTAAAGAAGTTTTAAGCCTAATTACCATTTTAATTGCCCGCCAACCGCGTGCTTTCCAACACTAAAAACCAGAGTTGGTTATTCGCATCGAGCCAAGTGCGGTCACACAATTCTCCGCCAGCACGTGTGCGGGTGTTTTTTGTATTTAATTTAATTTTTTACCGAATTCTATGAGAATAAATAGCTGATAATTGAGCACAATGGCCATACAACCCAACCGGCGAAAGAGAAAACACGAGGAGCCTGACGCGGAGCAGCAGGACGACGGCGAGGTGGCGGTGCCAAAGAAAGTCCCCAAGGAGTCGAACACTCCAAAGAAAAAGAAGGATAAAGCCGATAAAAGCGCAGAAGGAGCAACGGAGGAAAGTCCGCCAGAAACTGAACCTGCAGACCCCACACCAAGCAAGAAGAAGGGGAAAAAGGCTGAAACCTCCACTGAGAATGAAGCGCAACAGGTGGAAATGGAGGTAAGCGAGTCTCCCTCTAAGAAAAACAAAAGGCGGAAGGATACGCAGCAGGATGAGGACGAGGTTAGTCCCGACTCCGGCATCGAGCCGGAAGAGAGCCACCCAAAGTTTCCCAACGACTCCGGCATCGAGCCGGAAGAAAGCCACCCAAAGTTTCCCAACGACTTCAAGATGATGCAGTTCCGCACCAAGCTGCGTAGCAATAATTTTATTACTGGTAAGTGGGCAGTAAGTCGCACTGAGTCTATATTAACCAGTTGATCTCCCCCAGAGCTGCGGCACTTCCTGTTCATGGTCACCACGCGGCCGAAGATCGTGGCCAAGTACATTGAGAAGCGCGGAAAACCCCTGGAGCTGGCCGAGGCCTTTGACAGAATCGACAAGAGCAATCTTTTCCATGTGGACTACCTCACCGAAGCGCTGCAGCGCGTTGTTATGGAAATACTCACCAACCAAAAGAGCCACATGGAGTCGGCTGCCCATGGCTGTCGCTACTTCCTGAAGGCCCACGGCGGAGTTCTCGAGAATCTGCTGCAGTCGTCGCGTCCAAGCCATCGCCGCAATGCCCTCAAACTCCTGACGGCGATCGTGTGCGTGGAGCCCCAGCTGGGCCGCCAGGTGCTGAACTCCTACGACGTCCTCTCCAACGTGACTGTGATGCAGCAGATGCTGTTGCACTCGAGGAACGATTACATGAATGAGGACACGGTGCGCAAGGCGTACATACACTTCATTCTGGCCTTCCTGGTCGATGGAAACACCTTGCTTATCCGGAACATCCTGGACCGAGGCCAACTGATCGGCGTTCTGGCCAAGGGATTGGTCTACGATGACCACGTCACCGCCTGCGTGGTGCTGAACGCCTTGAGGCAGTACGTGCTGGAGAACCCAGATATTCAGAAGACGAAGAAGGTGCTGGTGTTCGACCTGGAGTGCTGCAAGAGCCTGCGCCGCCTCTACGACTGGGAAGGACCCAACGGCCTGCCAGCGCTGTTTGACAGGAAAAGAACACATAAACAGCCGCCCAACGAACAGGAGGCTGAGGCCGTTTCGGCTGCAGTTCACGAGCTGCTGCTGATGCTGCTCACCTCCCGCAAGCACGGAATCTGCTTCGATGCCATGACTCACTACCGTCAAAAGCAGAACAAGCTGCAGGGCAAGGTGCTGGGTTCGCTGTACAAGCCCTACCAGAATCCCCGCAAAACGGAGCTGGTTCTGCAGACTTTAAAGGCGTGTCCGGACTTGGGCCGCAACACCGTGCGGAATTGCTCCTGCCTGCTTAGTCCGGCTAAGAATTCAATGGAGGAAGTGCCCGATGCAGCGCTTTTTCTGGCCCAGGTCATCGATGCAGTGCCTCCCAGTGCGCTCTCAACAGCCTTCGACAAGATGACACTCACGGACTTCAGTTTCTGGATCAAGGAGCTGTGCCTGCCCATCGAAGCCCTGATGCACATCACGGGCAAAAAATTTTTGAACCACACCGAATTCCGCCTTAGACTGGCAGTGGAGCGTCTCCTGCTGTCCATGATGAGGCAGTACAGCAACTATGTGCATGCCATTGCCCTCCGGGAGCAGTCGAAGAAGGCCGGAAACTCTCTGCGCAAGTTCAAGTTCGATTTGCTTAACCACTTGCTGGTGCACTTTCCCACCATGGAGTCCGTTTTGTACTCCCTCTTCCTGGCTATCAAGCAGCAGAGTCAGGAGGGAGTGGATGTTCTCGAATGCCTGTCAGTCACCTTGGACCTGGTGCTGCTCATGTGCAAGGAAAACCGGGCTTTTGTGAACAAGACCAGTCAGATCCTGGACTACCTAAATGTGCTCCGACCCTTGTACCAAACCGATTTCGATGAGCTCGACCAGTCGCAGGACATCGTGAAGATTCAATTGGAGTTAAAGTCGATCAAGACCATACTTTTGCTGTTTCCGCGCAGCCTGAATCCAAAGGAGAAACTCTTCGAGCAGGTTTTCCGGTCGTTCATCAAGGCCTACATGCTGGAGGATGTGGCCATAAAATCGGAGGCCGGCAACATGCTGAACCGCCTCTTTCACAACACGGGGCTGTTTGATTCCTGCAGCCACGAGATCAACATCTGGGTGGAGGCTCTCATTGGATTTGATGCCGCAACTGTGACCGATGTGGTGACCATCCTGCTGATGATTCTCGGCCTGGACTGGAGGGAGATTGAGCTGCCGGAGCTGAGCGTGGCGGAAACGGCCATCAACACCAAGAACCTGAGCAAACTGTTTGCCCAAATCGAGCAGGGACAGACGGTGCAGGCGTATGTGGAGACCTTGACCCTGAGTAAGATGATGCCGCTGCTTCTGAAAGGAGTGGAACTGGAGGCGCCCTACGACGCCTATGTGGAGCTGGTGTTTCTGCTCCTCTTCCACTACCACAGCAAGCCGGAATGTGTGCTGCAGCTGTACGACGGCCGCCTGGAGCGGTACAGTGACTACATGAAAAGCTGGCTGCCCGGACGTGGAAAGGATAAGCCGAAGAAGCTTCCCGCTGTCCTGGCCGAGAAGTGGCCGCTGCTGAGCCAAATGCGGACGGTACTCCTCGGGGAGGACTCCCAATCTTTCGATCAAGTTTTCAAGGCGGTGAGCCCTGAAAATAACTTTGAGCTGCAGCTGGGGGAGGGTCAGTCCTTGTTGCTGCACGCGAGCCTCAGTAACCCACGTCGCAATATGATCTATGTCCAGGATCTGCTCTTCGTCTTCAGCCACCTCGTTTCCAGTCAGCGACTGAGCAAACTGCAGGCTGAGCTCACCGCCGATTATCTGATCAAATTTCTGCAAGTCGCCAGCCAAGTGGACGGCGGCAAGGAAGAGACCCAGGAGGAGGATCAGGATCAGGAGCAGGAGGAAACGTATACCCAGAGTCTTCTGCACTACATCTACAATATTCGCCTGGCGGAACTGCATCCTACCGAGCTGCTTAGTGAGACCAGCGCCACTCGCTTGAACTACGTCATCTTTCTGCGCCGACTGACGGAGTTCTGTCGCGCCTTGCCGCGGTTCGAGAGCCACACTGCAAACTACCGCCTGCACCTTATCAAGGCGTTGGATATTGCTTTAGACGCCTCGGTGGATAAGCTGGAGCAGCAGCAGCAGCTCGTGGAGTGCGTGGCTTTGGTGGATGCCTTCGAATTGAAGTCCAGCGAATGCTGCCAGATGCTAGACCTACTAACAACCAAGCTGCAAGCCAACGACTTTGTGCCGAGCAACAAGCCGAATCATTACTTCGATCTGCTCCTGCGCCTGCTGGGACGACTGACCACGCTGAAGGAGCCCATCGATTGCCGGAAGGCCTTTAAGGTCCTGCTGAACTTCTACAAGGGATTCTGCGAGCTGAGCGAGCAGCAGCTGGAGCCCCTGGAGGCGGCTCTACTTCAGTTCCTGGTCAACTACCATCACCACCTGGCCGAGTGCGATGGAGAGTTCTTTGCCTGTTTCTTCACGGCCTCTCGAAAACTCAGCAAATCCGCCATCCGCCTGGCGAGCTTGCTCTTGGAACGTCAGCCCTCGTTGGCAGAAAAGTTCGCGGAGCTGCTGCCCAGCAATTTAGAGCAAAAGGAGCTGGTGTATCCCCTCCTGGACATTGCCTTGTCGAAAAACTATCAACTACCCCAAGCGGTGCTCCAGCGCTGCTACCAAACCTACAAGAATGGCTTCATGAAGAGCATCGAGAAGCCCCAGAAGGCAGCCCTCATCTACCGGGAGCACGCGGAGGCCAGTGCCCTGCTCATCGCCCTGTGCATGCCCAAGTCCGAGTGTGTGGATTACTGCCAGAAGCAGCTGAAGCTCGACTCGGTAGAGCTCTTCCAGGTGCGAGTCCTGCGGGAGATCTATTGGCAGGCCTTTGCATCCGCCAAGGACGAAAAGCAAAAGGCTAACGTCTTCGTCAATTACGTAAACCTCAACGTTCAACTATTAACGCTGGATTTGAAGAAGCAGGCCTTGGACTTTGCCAAGCTGGAGCAAATAGCTTGGAACTGCCACGAGTGGTGGGAGACGAACGGTGCGAAGGAGCTTCCTCTGGACTGGAGTCGCTTGCTGGGCAACCAGCAATGGCTGAATTTCTGCAAGAGCTGCTTAAAGCTGGCTCTCCATCTCGGCGAGGAGCGGCAGCCAGCTCAGGATGAAACCAATGGGCTCGTGCTCAAGCTAATGGCCTTCCTCTGCGACGGTATGTATGCTGATTACAATATGGAGGAGCCGGCGGAGGAGGATCCCACGACAGCCCTGCTCTACGAAATGATTTGCACCCATTCCTGCTGCTTTGACCACCTCCTGGGAGCGCCTAGTGCCACCAAGACCCATCTTCTTCAGCTCATGGAGACGCTGGCCAGAAAGGCACCCAGTGCCCTCCAATCGACTCACATACCCGTGATCCTGGGATCCTACCACGCTAAGCTCTCCCCCTCCGATCGATACGGATTGGCGCTGTTGGAACACTACGAGCGCTTTGAAGTGGGCTTGGATCAGTTCAGACCCTTCATCTGGGGCGAGAGCGCCGTGGCGCACTATGCCTTGAGGGCAGCCGATGACGATGAGCGGGCACGCTTGCAGCAGCAGGAGACCAATGTGGCCCAGGTGCTGGCGTTGATTGTCCGCGAGACCAGCGAGTACACCATGGAAAACTTTCCCATTTGGAGGAGCCTGCACGCCAGCCAGCAGCTGCCTGCGGTCCAGTTCCAGAATCCTGCAAAGAAGTCCCTATATTTTGGCGACAATCAGCTGGAAAAGATGGTCGAACAAGGCTGTGCAGACTTCCCCCAGGATCTGCGTCGCATCTGCCCGAAGCGCGAGAAGATCTACGAGGCCTGCTACGATCCCGCCTTCCTACTGCCCCTAATGATGCACTGCTTCGCACCGGAGTCCGTGGTCTGGGCACGCTGGCCGGTGCAGAATGGACTGCTGGCGGTTAGCTTCTGTGGGCTATCCTCGCTGGACAAGGATATGCGCCTGGCAGCGGCCAGTTGTCAGCAACGCTATCGCACCCACTTTGAGCTCTCCAAGTTTTATGAGAAGCCGCTGTGGACGCAGGCCTACGACAACATCCAGGCGGGACTGAGTGAGCTGAGAAATACATGGCTCGCCCAGAGGAGGACGCATGGTGGAACTCCAAGGGTTCCGCTGATCCCGGCCCTGTTTATCGCGCACAGCTTCAACCTGAGCACAGACCCAACGCATCTACTGTACAAACGCCTGATGATGTATCTCCGGCTGAAGCAGAGCTTCAACTTCCAGACCATACCCGACTTCAATGTGTTCTTCTACTCGCAGGAGCCAGAGCACCAGCAGTACCGCGAGTTCATCATCGAGTTGCTGCGGTGCGGCATCAAGTGCAGCGCCGATCTCTTCCTACTGGTTTCCACCAATACGTTCAAGGTGCTGCTTGGATTCTACGGCTCCAGTTTGGCCACACTTGAAACGAATCTGTTGCTGCTCTCGGTGCTCTCCACGTGCGTAAAGATTCCCGGCGCTGTCAAGATTATGTTGGAGCACGTGGGCATACTGTCCTGGCTGGTCGGCGTCATCCGCGACACGGAGTTCCATCAATTTGACATCATCGAGGGCGTCATTAGCATCATCAACAATCTGTGGTATTCCCTGGCCGCCGCGCGGTCTGAACTGCCGGACTACGACCATGTCCAGTTGCGTCTGTATCGCCTGGTGCTGCAGCTCCTGCCCCTGCTCTCGCCTCGTATTTCGGTGCCCGGTCTGGGACGCCTGCTGAACGTGCTGTGGAAGAGTGGCTCGGCCAGTGGTCAACATCGCGCCTTGTCCGCTGCCCAACTGGATGTTCTGATCGAGTGCTTGGCCCGACAGTGGCCGGATCAGATGGCGGGAGTGCGTTACGTGAAAAGCTACGGCGGCTCGGGTGCCTGTTCCCGGTCGGAATACTGCAACTGGCTGGCCAGCGATCAGAAACTCGATGTTCACGGCGTCCTCGCACTATCCAGCTTGCGGGAGTTTGTTAGCGATTGGTGGCAGGCTCACCACGAGGAGGAGAGTAAGGAGCAACTGCTGGTGGAGTCGAAGGAGTAAGAAAGCCTTTTTTAATAGTTCTGGCACTAGGTTAAGCTATTGAATTGTGTTTATTGTGTAGGCATACAAAGTCTTTGATTTATTAAACTATATGCAATGAAATCTTGAGCGCCTCTAAGTATTTTCTCGCGATGATTGAGCGGTCCTCTTATCGTCAAAGCCTGACTGATTACTGCCGTAACTCATGCTGTATCAATATTTGTGGGAGTTGCCCCGAAAGCGAATCACTCAGAGGAGTGTTGAAAATGAACTGTCATGTCTCCGGCTGCTCCATAAGCCCCGTCAACCTTCATTAGCCGGCCCGCAGCGTATGACAAATTACGGGCCATCAGCATAACAAAAGATCGGTTAAGCCAAATATGAAGAAAATCCGAAAACAAGGCATATGGCAAAACCCTTTAGTGTTTGTTAATTTGGCCAATCCGTTTTCACACGCAGCAGCCACCCGGCACAAGTGGGCGTCCACCGATATCCCCACCCTCTACTGGGTACGGTATGCATCACGGTGTCTCCGACGACCCCAGGCACCACCTACAATTCGTTGGGTCAACAAAATGTTAACCACCCGAAAGAGCTTTGGGCATAACCAGGGGATCGCTGGATTTCTACTATAATATGTAAAGCAAAGTGCGCAGAGTTGACGCAATCGGCGAACGAAAATATTCACAAGATTTATGATCTTACTAGATGTCTCGAAATCTAAGCCACTTCGTTACATAAAACCCGGGGCTGGGTCGCAGTCTAGAGTTGCAGATGGAGACGGAGCTCTGGATCCGACATAATTGATTGATATTGCTTGGCATTTTGTTGTTTATGAGGCGGACGTCTTGCCAAAAGGTATCAAATGTAGCGTCGCTTGGCCTGAAAAATATAGTGGATCGAATAAATGTATAAATTTTGATTGGCCCGAGGCACAAGCAACATGGGAATATATAAATGGAGTCGGCAAATGATCTGGGAAATCATCTCGCTTGACGGATTATATTAATATCGCATGGCTAGTTATAATCATAAGGCCCTTAAAAATTGGTCGTAAATCGAAGCGTCATTAATTGGCCACATTGTCATAATCTGCATGGACTAATGGCTTCATTGGATTGATTGGAAGATGCAAATAAATAAAAATACATTTAAAGGTTGGAGATACTTTCAAGGTTCACATAATAAGGCTTATTTGCAGACCCAATATATTTGAATATATTTTTTTTGCAGCCTGATTTCACCTATTTGTAAGTGCTTTTAACGCGATAAGAAGTTCTTAACCCTCGACCTTATTGTAACTAATTGGTTTTCTCTTTCGGAGTGGCTCCAAAATTTCACTTACTGTACGCATCAATCAAAATCCTTCAATAAATCCCAGAGTTTCACTGGCATTTCAGTTTCTCCTGCCACCAATCAATAGGCGTGAAAAATCGGTACGCCGACATGGCATTGAACTACGCACAATGGGCCAAAAAAATATATGTGTATATATAGAGTTCAAAAGTTCAGCCGGTAGCCGGAGCAACAGCAGCAGCTGCCCAAGATTCCGACAAGACAATGAGGTGGGATCAGATCCCATGCAGGCCCCTGTGGGCGTGACCACATTTCGCTGGACAATTAAGCGGCTGTCAAATGATTGATTTAGCTTACTTAAAAAACGATTTCGTCTAATCCGGAACTGACAAGGCCCCGCCGCAGTGTAACCAAAGACCCCAAGCGGCGACGGCCGATCTATGGGCATCCCCGGGCCCCTCGGAGCGTGGATGCATATGATTATCCGGAGTGGTGCGTTAGCAAATCTTTTCTCAGGTTTCAGCGGGTTGCCTCTTCTTCTGGGCTTGGGACTGGGATTGGAGCTGCTTCTGCCGCGTTCATATTTCACACCTTAAACGACAATCTACGATGGCTTTTTCGACTATTTGCATTTTAAATTATTAGTTTTAGTTTGGCCCTCATTGACACGTTTATTTTGTGGCGCACAAAGGCCTTTGTCTTATGTCAAAACGAATGCAATTTATACAAATTTATTTATAAACAAATTTCTCGATTGTCTGCCGGCCTGTTTGTGCCATTTATTGAGCTCGTTGCTCTTTTTGCTATTTATGGTTTCATTTGCCACTGCCAATCATAAATGCCAGGGAGCTCCGGAGCTCCAGCTCCTCCCAGGAGAGAGGGGCAATCAGGTGTCACAATGGAAGCCCCAGGCCTTTCTGCTGATCGCTTGTCCAGATGGATGGATGGATGACTTTATTATGCGGCAGTTTGGTATGAATTATGTGAACGGTAGTGGGATAAGGGCGTGGCCAATTGAATCAGGTTGCTGAGGTCAGCGCTGTCAGTTGCCAAATCGAGCACGGCGGAGGGTCAAACTTGCGGTTAGCTTGAGTTATGACAGCACCGAGGATCTCTGCGGATCCGTAACCGCAAAACTTCATTAGGAATCCAGTTCAGATGGCTACTGGGAGCCATGCAAGTTGCATTTTCAATTAGTCATGCACTCGGGGGAAATTCTGCCTCAAAAAAAGTTTTCATAAATCGAAAGAAAACAAAACAATTTTCCTTAAATCGCTAGAAATGAATAACATTAAAAAACTGTTTAAGAATCTTTACAAAATGTATTAAACTAAAATAATAACTTATTCTTATGGTGATATCTTAAATTTTATTACAGTCTTTAACCTCTGTAAAAAGGATTTTCTAAGTGTATAAACAAACCCCCAACTCCCGCTATATGGCCCGCGGCTCATCACGTTGCGCCTCCAGTTGGCAGCATGTGCAGTTTGTCTCGGTTGTCCTGGCCACAATCAAAATTTGTTCAGCATACAGAGCAGCAAACGATTTTGACTTGGAAAAAGTCAAATTGAAAATTTGCAGGCGGAGGAAAACGCATGGAGCAGTTGGAAAAGGGTGCAAACGGGTTCAAAAGCTCACCAGGCAACGGCGTCGAGGCGTCTCGGCATCATTTCAAATATCAAAAGTCACGACGAAGAAAGCTGGTTTGCCGCGCGACGTGTTCGATGTTTGGATTTTTGGTTTTTTGGCTCGCTTTTGCTGCTTTCGTTGGTCTTTACCAAGCATTTGGCAAATAATGTGCTGCTAAGAGATGTGACTCCGACTCCGACTCCCTTGCACTCGGTGGCACTAGGAAAACGAGTCAGCTGAAAGTGCTTTTCACTGCCTGCCGATTTTCCATTGACAGCGGATGAGGCTCCTCCTCCTCCTACTCCACTCCCGCACCTTCGCCGCGGGGTTAATTTCTCATACAGGTTACGGTGGCCCAAAAGGTGTTATCGCACCTACCGCGGAAATTTGGCAATGCACACAAAATGTGTTATTAAATGCAATGGTGCATTTACATTTATTAAGGAAAATAAAATAAAACCACCAAAGGAATGCTGGACAGACAGTCTGCCAGCGTTTAGGATCCTGTAAGTGTGCAGCATTTCGTGAGGTTGATCTTAAGCTGTCTCCTTGTTGTCCCCCTTCCTGCCCACCTTTGTTGATAAGTTGAAATAACTAACTGCTTCTAGCATATAATATAAAATAAGACAATTAAAACGAAGATGGTATTTAAGTTAATAATTACCATACATGGCGCCTCAGAGTGCTTCCAGGTTGTTGCCTCTTTGGCATTTAGTGGCTCATCCAAACCACTGCAGCTTTTCTGCCATGTAAAAAACCGAAATAAAATAATCGCAAAACGGGCAAAGTGAAGCAGACTTTTTTCAATAAGCGGAAATGAAAAAAGGCAAGCGGAAATCGAAGATTCAAACCTTGCGTCTTCAGAAATGAGTCAATTTACATGCTGAATTGGCGTTAATACGGGAGAAATTTGCACGGTGAAGAGGTGGCCCCAAAAGCAGGCACGAGGAAATGGCCAACTTCAGCTGCAGCTCCGACGCCAACTTTGATCTGCGGCACGTGTGTGTGCCTGAACTGGCTTGGAGCAAAGTGCTCATTAAGCGCTCGGCTGCTGTGGGCAAGGATTTGGCCAAAAACGAAACGAGTTGGCCGCGAAGATGCCACAGCGCGCGCTGTTGGGTAACTTGGAAAGTCATCGGACGAGACACGCATAAAACACGAACGAAAACAAAAATACTGCAAGCCAAAAATATATAAAACTTAATCAAGCCGCAGGCTGCGCTGTTCCACTAGAATTGAGTTGCGTCATGGCGGCGCCGCTAAAAGGTGTTGGGCGCCTGTGAATTGACCATGCTGCGAGCCAAGTTCAAGCCCAAGACAACGGCAGGGGCAGAGAGCCATAATGAGCTTGGCTTTCATTCATTAGCCGCCTCCAGCCGGTCGGCCACATTCGCGCCATCTGCAGCATCTTCAGCGAAACTCCAGTGCTTTTGTCTTCGGCCAGGAAACCTCGACACGCTCGCGCCTCAGTCTGCAGCGAGCGTTCAGACGGTTTGGTTCAGTTGTTGTCTGCCAGCAGCGGTTAGCCGCCCCAGCGCCCAACTCCCCCGAAAAAAAAAAAACATCAGTCTTTCCTTCGAACAAAACTCGTAAACCAAAAGCGAACGAAACCAAATCGATCAACTGCAAGCCGCGAAAATTATCGGCCGGTGTGTGAACTGTCTGCTAATTCGAAAATAACGATTCGAAATTTGGCAATTAAACGAAAATAAAGTGCAACGAGGAACGGATCGGAACGGTCGACAGCCAGCGGCAGATAGGCTGTAAACCCACCTAATGAATACAATATAATCCAAATACAATAAAGGAAACGTTAGCAGCTAATTCGCATTTGATTAGTTTATGTTTCTGTCTCGAATCGAATATTACAATTTGATTGCGTGCAAAGTCTGAGGAGAGAGCGGAGCGACGTGGAGCAGAGTCATCATCATCGGGCCAGCTGGATTACGGCGCTATAAAATTGGATATATCCCACATACACGATCGAAATGCTTTTGGTGAGTATTACATCAGAGATCTAACTTTACTGCTTTGCCTATAAAATTGTAAGTCTAAAAATGTTAAGCTATTTATTATTATTTATTTTTTTAATTGGAATGTTGTCTTTGGTTTTATTTGAAACTTACTTCAACTTTACACTTCTCTCTGTACCCTGTAGACTTAATCCTTTATGGTCAGAAATATTTTTTTATCTTTATTAGTACAGGTATTTTTATACCCTTGAAGGAAATTATAATTTTAGTCAGGAGATTGCAAAGCAGTGGAAGAATCATTTCTGACCCCATAAAGCACATATATTCTAGATCAGGATCAGCAAGCAAGTTTTTGTAGCCATATTGGAAAGAAACTAATTTAGGGTTTTTTTTCAAATTTTTAAATATTGAAAAAATTTTGAAAAAAATGTTCTTATGTAGATGTTAAATAAGGTATGCAGATTTGTTAATCTAATAAGAACTAACATAACACCGATTTCCGATGAAAATTAATGCTTTTTTGACTTAGTGATTGTATTTTAAAACTTTAATTTGTCAAACAAATGTTTTACCCATATTTTTAAAATTCTTTAAGGGGTTACATCTTTAAAATTATCAAATATGGACAACAATTTGTATTTTAAATTTTTTCTTTTATGTCTACTAAAGGCGAAAACAGTATACAGTTCTTTCTTAAACTTTTTAATTAATAATTAATTGTACTAATTCTGTTCTCAATGGATTAATGACAGGTGATAATAAAGTTATTTTTTAAGGTAAATCTTAGTTAGCGTTCCCTAGGAATCCCCTAACCCGCATCATAAACTCTCTATTTCTTTTCTTGAAATCTGAAAGTTTGACTGGCGACCCTCTGTAGAAATTTCACCAAGTTTGCTAATTAAATTACCTCAATTAGTGAGACACAAGCCATCTGGCGATCCCCGCCCATTTTTGGCACATCGAAGACACCATCAGTGTGGGAGTTGCGATCTGACAACTTCGATCGACGCCAATCGATCAGATAACCCCTCGCTATTCATGAATATATGCATGGGATCTTTTCGTTTTTTTGGCAAGACCAAATTATTGAAAGTCATTGGCCAAGTCATTTGTGTAATGGCTTTTTAATGCCATTTAATGATTCCATTTGGGCGCTGGACACGGCCAGAGCGGCAATAAAACAATTTAATTAGCGACATATGAGACGCATTTAATTTAGAGATCACAATAATGCGTGGTGCTCAGCAGCTACGGCTACCGATCGAGTTGTTTTACGAGCGTTAATCACTCACAGAAAGTCCGTCCCGCCGATTAAGACCGTTAAAAGCGACACATAATGCCGTGACTTTGAGGCCAGACATAGTTGGAGATGTGAATGTGAGTGGCGGTGCTAACAAGACCTCCAATCGCAGTCGATTAACTCAATTAGATTGGGCAACCCGGCGGAGCCATTTACAGGATTTATATGCCTTCTGGCCCGCATGTAATCCAGAGCCGGAATAGCAGTTGCAATAGCTGTTGTAGTCGCAGTCGCTGTCCAAGGCGAACCCATGTCCAAGCCCACACCCCGAGCATATCCGATTTCGGCTTATGCAATCGACAGTTTATGGCCAAATTCAAATCGCCAGCGACCTGTTCTCCAGTCCCAGTCACAGTGCCAGCAAGTCATCTGTGAAGACGTCCCAAAACGCAAGATGTGTGCAGATGCCTGCCGCTGTTGACATGCAATAAAATTTCACTTTTCACCGTTGCATAATTGCAGTTTGACAATGCTTAAAATTGATTATGCTGCGTTTTCCTTTTTTGCTTAGCTGTTTGCCTTGGCGCAAAAACAGCGGCGGCTTCCTTGCCTTCCGCTGATTTCACCAGCCCAAAATTAGCCATCGGGTCATAAATCATGCAGCGACATCCAGTGTCAAGGGATGAGCTGGGACAGCTGCCAAAATGGGATTTCCCCAGTTGGTTAAACAAATTACTAGAGGCTCAGGGTAAAAGGTTGAAGTTCTTTGCTTAAAAATATATATTTTATTTGGGCTACATTTAAGACAGAGATCACCTTTGGGCTAAAAAGTTAGGATAGGCGAGGAATTCCTCTCTATAATTACCCCTCAAAAACTTCCCAATTATAGGTACACTTCAAAAGATAAACATATAAATATAATGCCCATAAAAGAAAGCTTAAGCGATAAAAACTGAAATGGTCTTAACAATGCTTCCAGTCATTAGCTTGAATTTCCCCAAATAAAAGCAATACCATATCCTCTTCTTTTATTATACGACCGATGGTATATCACCCCCGAGTATCCAGTTTCTCTAAAGCATTTCAATTAATGTTTTCAAGTGCCCGGGGCACCGATTTTCACAGTCATTGATCGGTAGGGAATGGTATTTGATTTGCTTATCGACCCGCTGCCATTGTAGCTGGGCTAAGGAGCGTGTGTAAGGTAACAAAAAGTAAAAGTGCGGCACACTCGCTCACGATCGGCGCTTCATTCACAAGATACAACATATTCAATTCATGGATTCAACAAGAAATAAATAACAAGAAACAGACGCCCGCCCGCACACTGAGCAGCAGCGAGCATATATCGTGCCGGGAGATCTGTATCTGTACCTGGATCCAGGGTCTGCACGAAATTGTGCAATTGTCAAAATAGCAATTTACAATTTACCCTATGATGGATGGCCAACGAGGAGGATGCTGAGGGACGACGACTTGTGGCATAAATCAGAGCCACCTGAGATATATAGTCAAAGCCAAAGCTGAGAAGTGTCGTTGACAAGTGCAGTGGATGATTGCGGTCATGCAACGCTTTTAGGGGGAGTTTAGTGTCGAGTTCGTTGCCTAAGTCTTTTGTTTGGTAAACTCAGCCACGCACTCCTCTTGGGCCTTAGCTCTCAACTAAAGGTCAACAGCAGCCCCGGCTGCCCTGGCAATTGTGCGTCAAGTAGTAACTGGCACACGACGCTGCTCACACAATGTAAGCGATTTACATAATAATATGTAACTATATAGACAGGCAAACAAAGCGCTAGGCGCTGGGCATAAAAACATTTACCACTTCCACCGGCCACCGCCACGGATGGGGAGCCGATGATCTCTTCTTCCTCAAGAGAGACCGAGGGAGAGACTCGAAGACCTGATGCCCGGGCATCGATAAAAGTGAAACCGAAATTGCCGAGTACACAGCCCAATGATGCCATTGACATTGCATTTTTGTCTCAACGCGCCATTAGATGTAAAGAGCAAAACAAAAAGCGAAGGAAAAAATGGAAAAAGAAAAGAAGAGATAAAAATAAAGAGTTTCCCTGCCTAGGTGCTCCTCCCAACTCCGACAGCTTCGAACTCCCGAAACAATGGGCCAGACATTACGCGAACGCGCCCGCAAAAAGCCCGCAACACAAACAGAAATTGCTGTGGAAAAACCTTACACCAATGTCCGAGTGTGTGTGCGTCTCGGAAATTTATTGTAATATGCGCACATTGGTAATTTTGTCTTATTTTTATTATGATGAAATGTGGCCGTGTGGCTAAATAAAAGCCGGGAAGATGGCAAAAAGCGTTGGTCAATAAGCTGCTGCTATAGCTGCAGATGAAGATACGGATTTTCACTCAGTCGCCGATGCCACTAATGTCAGCGAGAGTTTGGCGTGGCAAAAAAAAAAAAAACCATGTTCGCTGCTGAAACCTGTTGTAATAGACAGACGGACAGGCATAATATTATTATTGCCATTATGCATCTCCAACCCAATCGCTTCTACTGCTGCCTCAAAATTGAATCTGATGCTTGAACTTCGCCTGCTTATCGGTTGATCATCGCTAAACTTGACCTCTGGCCAATCAGCCAAAATACGGCTAACCCTTGTCTTCGATCGGCAACTGACTGCGATCCGATCTGCCATATCTATGACGGCTTACACGCAACCAAACCCAATTAAATGCACATAAATATGCAAATGACAGTCAGCAAAATGGGCCCTAATCGAAATGTAAACAGCTATGAGTTCGGAGAAGATCCCCTCGCGATATCGCGTTATTGGTCAATATCCCGAGACGAGACCCAATCAATGCCAATCAAAAGCTCGCTTCCACGTCAAAACAGCCTAGGCCGGCTGGGATTAGGCTAATATCTTGCCGAGACAAAGCCATAGATCTCGGAATAGGGCGCGTCAGCCTCGACATTCGAGTGTGAAATTATGCAAATGCCCGGGACTTGCTATCTATACTATATGCTATCGGCTATCGCCAGCCACACCGAGCGAGCTGGAAAGTAGCTCCCATTGAGGGGAGATGATGCGGCTGTGGCCCACACACGCAATTACAGAGGTTTTTTATGCGTTTTTCGGACAACAAAGCTTGGTAGCCACAAAGGCAGTTAAAAGTCCATAAAATACTGTAACAAATTTATTGGGTAACTGAAAACAAGAGGAATCATCAATGGGAAGCGTCGAAATGGTAGCAAATTCATAGACTTGAGAATGCTCTTTCGGGGTTTTGCTTGATGTTTTAAATTATTATAGATAAAGTTAAGATAAAGGAAAGATAAAGGACAATGGTCTATGGCATTAAAGATACTACAGAGAGTAAGAGAAGCATCCAGCTAATCAACCTCACGAAATGCAATCTGAAAAGGTTCCGAACGTCTTCTGTCAAAAATGATGTTTCTTGGTATAAACTTATATTTAAACTAGATGCTATAGAATTATGCATAGCATTTCTTTATTTTTATAAAATTAAAGTTTTTTTTACAAAAGAATCATCTAATCTCATTTCAAGATCACCTGCAAAAATATTTAAAAGCAAAACTATATTTGACATTTTTATGGAAATCGTTTGCTGGAGATTTTTGTAACACCTTTGAGCGGTGATCATCATTTTGTTTGTTTTAACTATCGACCAAAATTTGGTTATGAATCAATACCAATTTGTATAACACAATAATAGGCAATTTAAACAAAAGTAGTCTTGGGTTAAATATACCCATATATATTTTCCTTTTAGTCGCCAAAGAGTTTATCGTTCACCGTCTTAGGCGTGAACTTGGCCTGGCCATAAAACGATATGAACTGGATTTTAATCTAATATATCTGTATTATAATCTCGGATTGCAATTCATGCCGTTGCATTTTATGACTGTGCGCGGATTACAACATAATCTTTACAACATTAATATTTATGCTGGCCCACATAAAGCATAAAGACCAATTATCACCAACTCGCCAATTGGAGGACTGGTTGGACTTTTGATTGGCGGGGATGGGTTTGGGAATGGATTGCGTTACGCGGCAAGCGGTTACATCCAGAGCCAGATAAACAACTTTCGGCCAGGTCTCGAAATTCGGGGTTTATCATCTGGCAGCTGCTTAATAATGCATGGCCAGTGGATGCCACACTGCATTAAACCACAGGCTTGGGCAATGCAATCCTCCGGCGGTGCTTAAGTGCAGCATATAAAATGTAAAACTGAAAAATGCATCTGGAGAATGCGAAATGCGAAATGGCTAAAATGGCTGAGGTGCAGCGGGGCTCAGCAGGCGTGAAATTAATCACAGAAAAGGCGGGAAATTCCAACTGACAGCTCGAATTACTGGCATACGAATATGATGTACCATTTCTTTATTGTTTTGCTGGCGAGTGGAACTGGGTTACCCAGTCGTCAGTCTTCAGTATCTCCAGTCTTCGCCTTCGAAAGTGAAGTTTGGTCAGTTTAGGCTTATGCAATTGCCGAGATTGCGGAGATATTTGCTTATAAGAAGAGGGAACCGAGCGAACACACAAAAAGAAAACACTTTCAACCCACACACCCGAGGAGAGAAGAAACAACGTAAAATAAATAATATAGACAGCACTGGGCCATTATCCATTGAGGTATTGCTAATTTATTGGCGTTGTCCGATTGTTGTTAAATCACTTTTTACACTTTATACACTTTGCCGCAAATTTGTGGCCGAGATTGGCTTGGTTGTGGCGGCTTCGGGCCTTTTTGCGGAACTTAGCGGCCAGCGAATATAATTATGGATAATTAAAGGAATTTTATTAAGCCGCCTTGTGGCGTTTTACGCGCTTGTTAATTTCGTGCATTTACCATGTGAATATCTCCATCCAATTAAAACGGAAATTTTGTGGCCCGGGGAGGGTCTTTGCTTGATTATTAATATTATGAGTCTGCCTGTGAACTAGTACGAATATTAAGCAGAGAAATTTCACAAGCCCTAGGCAACTCTTTTCTAAATACATTTTTTTTACTAAATTGATTTTTAAACGAAAATTAAATGGAATTTTCTAATGAAAGCTGCTGGTATTTGGTTAAGGGACTTTAAAGTGGGCCTACTAGACCTTCAAGCGGGAAAGTTTAGCCCGCAATTTCAGCAAATATCTACATCTAATCACTTCCGCTATGGGGCTGCCTGAATATATTCGTGTGTTCAAGTGCCAAACATTGCAGGGAAATAGCCCGAAATGAAATAAAAATGGAAATGCCTACATGCAATTGAGCAGTTTGCCTTTTAATATACATACCTGCCGAGGTTTCCATTTGCCTGGGACCGACGACCATTACAATTTATGATGATTGCTATTTCTTCGGATCCTCCTTCTCCTTCTCCTGCCCCTTTATGTATGTATATTTATCTTTATCCCATTCCCCAGAAAATTCAAAGCCGGCAAACTTGATTAGCTTAGCGCCAAGTTGACGCCACTGACGGACTGTCCGGCTGACTGACTCGATGCCGACGATGATTTCCATAGCGAAATTGACGCAAATGAGCAGCCGAGCAGGCGCAGCCATTGATTTTGTGCCGGAAAGTCAATGGCAAAGACGTCGAGAAATTATTTCCCATTAAAAAGCCTTACCTTTGCCCTTTCGCAGAACTTGAACCCTGGCCTTGGCTCAAGCGGAAGGCAAGCTGCCAAGTTAAATTGTGAAAAATAATGGTTATTTTCACCAGTCTATTTACTGTGAAAAAAGGCGAGTCATGTTCGATTTTATAGTGACGGACTTCAAAGGAGAGATGCCTTCGGTTTGTCTGAAGGCGAACAAGTAGAAAGTTATTTTGGGGGGCAGAGTCAAAGGTGTTGAGCAGAGTTCAGAGATTTCATCGATACCGAAGATGGATCTATGTATATGAAAAGATTTTAGGCAGGCACAATTGAATAATTGGTCTTTCTTTTTGTATTTACTGCAGTACACGCTGAAAAAGATTATGTGAGTACGGGGTATTATAGTAATAGCAAAGACGGGCAGAGAAATTTGCGGACTCGGAAGTCAGAGCATCAGAGCACGGCATGAAATTAAACTCTTTTGAAAGGTTGTCTTATATTAATTTCTTAAGATCAAGCCTTTCTATTTTGACGAATAATTTCTGCCTGTGTACCGCAAAGATTTATGCAACATTGGCATTCCACAACTCTCGAGTCCTTGCTGCGAATCCAATGGGCTTTTCATTTCATCTGCTGCTGCGACTGCTGATGATGCTGATTAAATAATTTCCAACCAACGACTAAGCCACGATTGTTCAGTTCAGCTCAGATGTTGCTGGCAACTCGAACTAATGCCCAGTGCCAAGTGGCAACAACGTGACTGCCACACAAAACTCCTGGGCGCCCACAACGATCCCAGACTTAAATCGAAAACAACGCAAACGAAATCAAATCAAAGCGGGAAACTCACGTAGTCGGATCTGTGCTCCAGCGACAGGTGGTCAGATGAGTTGTCTGGACACCAGCCAGCATCCAGCATCGTTGATGCAACAATTAGCCTAAACTTTCAGCAAACAGCCAAACGAGCAACGTTGCAAGTCTCTAGCCAATTTGCAAACAGACTCTCTCGGTCGAGTAGAAACCACCAGAAATCAATCGTCAAGCTGTTGAAAATGGGAAATTGTGCAAATGGCCCAAACGCAGCCACAGACGGATTCCCCTTTGAAAAATTGAGAAAAGCCAAGAAAACCCCATGAGTGGGCAGTCCGACCAGCAAAAAAAACTGTGTATAATGCGTTATGATTTTCCATGTGCGCGAATGCCGGAAAGATTACCGCGTCGCGATTAGCGGGCTTCACATGGAAAACCGAAGGGGTCACAGACTCTGCTAAGGCATTTTCCAACAGGTTGCACAAGTCCACTCCAGCAATTGGGCTTGGCCAGGAAAATGCACTGGAAACTTGAATACAAATCTAAGAGCTGCCAAAAGTTTAGGAAAATTAAGGAGTTTTCTATGAAAAAGTTTATGAAATAGACAAATTGTTCGATATAGCTTTATTTTTCACAGATTTCAATAGATTTTCCTGTAGTTTAGTTTTAGTTTACCCAAACTTAAACCTACTTAAAGAAAATTGGTTAAGAAAGAAAAGATCACTTGGCAATTACACCCAAACTAATGCAATAGCTTGAGAAATGGTTTAGGTGTCACAGACAATTAGCCTAAGAGCACCTGTCCCTAGCCCAAGGTGTCTCCAACCAGCCGAAGACGAGCATAAAAACCTCAATGGCCATTAAAGCAAATGAGGCCTGAAACTAAGACCCCATTAGGAACGAGTGAACTTATTAAGTTATTAAATTTAAAGCCCAACCATTAATACTTCCTCCTAACTCTTCTTCGGTCTCTCCCACGAACAGAGACATCTAAACAGCCTGCCTTGGGCTTTGCTGGCGGTTCTTCTGTTGGCTGCTCTCAAGCTCCATGTGATTAATGCCGATGCCAGTGCGGAGGTGGACAACTCCAGCACAGAGAGCAACGAGATCATTCCGCGGGAGGCCATCCAGAAACTGGACTACTCGGTGCGTCAGGCGCTACTTCGGGCTATCGATAAGCTGGAGCAGGAGGAGGCAGCCGCTGCCGGGGTCACGGAGAGCGGAGAGGACAGTACCAGCAGCAGTGGGTCCCGATCCTTGCTCCGAACGGAGACTTCCACGCTGCCCTCGCATCGGGAAAAGGACGAGATCCTGGAGGAAAGCACCCACAAAGCGGAGCCGGAGGCTGTGGTGCCCACCGTTCAGTTCTACACAGCCACCTTTGACGAGAAGAACGCCCAGGAGCAACTGCTCTCCTCTTTCATAGACCGCTCAAAGCTGTGGAAGAAAACCACTCTCCGCAAGCAGAGTTCCCCCTCCACTGCCCTGCCCATCGAACCTAAGTCAGCGGAGCCGGAGGGTCCGGAGAATCGTCAGCTCACCCGGAGCGTGGACAGCTCCAGTTCCGGATCGGTCAGCAGCAACGAGATCTCTCACGACAGTGGCAGTCATGAGATTAAGTTCGAGATCAGCAATTTAAGGAAGGCAGCTCCCACTACACCCACAACAACTTCCACGTCCACATCAACCACGACAACAACTCCAAGGCCCCGCACCACCCGTAGGCGAACCACCACGACGTCGACAACGACTACGACTACAACTCCAAGACCCACCCACAACGAGGATGGGGAGAACATTGAGCTAGTAGACAAGCAGGACATTCGCATCCAGGAGGCGCCGCTGGTGACTGCCTTTACGGTGGATCTGGATGAGCGTGGCACAGCCCAGAAGTTCCGCCCCCTGCTGTCGGGTAACCAGCGGACTCCCCCTTACTCCCAGCAACAGCAACATCAGCAGCTGCTGCCCCACATTGGACCCACCATCACCAAGCTGAACGTGCTGGAGTCGGAGCCTCAGGCCACGCCGCTGCCCACACAGTATCCGCCCACCAGCAGCAGCTCAACTACCACCCAGATTAGTACCAGCACCAGCGCCAGCGGAGGTTTCTCCACCACGCCCGCTTTCCTGGCCAGCTCCACCAGCAATTATGTGAAGGTATGTATGTGGGCAGCGGGAAAGCCTCAAAATCATGTGTTTATTTCCCCAAATTTTCATTTCGAAATTATATCTTGCCAATCAGGCAATCAAAAAAGGTTACACCATTAAAAAAAAAGTAGTTTACAATTAATTTAAGATCTGGCTTTAAATTAAAAAACTAGAATAAGACTAAAGTAATACTTTCCGACTAGCAGGAACCCCTCAACACTCTGCCGGAGCCTCCCAGCGTTAACAACTACCTGATCGAGCGACAGCGTGCTCTGGAGCAGCAGATCTACCAGCTGAAGGTACAGGCCCAGCAGCAGCAGGCTCTAATCCTGCGCCAGCTTAAGCTGCTGGAGGAGCAGACTCAGAGCCGCTTCCAGGCCTCGCCAATTGCCCAACCCAGCACATTGCAGCCGCAACAGCAGCAACTCCAGCAGCAGCAGCAGTCACAGCAGCTCCAACAGCAGCCACAGCAACTCCAACAGCAGCAACATGGTCCGCTGGAGGCCATTCAGACAGCGCTGCAACCGCCCTCGGTGGGTTACTCCATAAGGCCTTCGGTGGAATTTATACCCAGCACACATACCAAAACTGTTATTTATCCCACATATCCAATTGAGCAGCAATTGCCGGTCCGCGATGCCGTTTCGGGTCATAAATTCGCCCTGCACGGCGGCAACAACAACAACAACTATCAGAAGCTTCCAGCGCCGTCAAATGCGGTGCAGCAGATTTTCCAAAACTTGCAGCAATCTCTGCAGAAATCGAACGAAAACAACAATGTTGGCGGCAATTTGCAGGGCCAGCCCTCGAATCAGTTTGGCTTTGCCCCGGCCGAGGCATCGCAGCTTCAGGCGCTGCCCCAGCACAATTACAAACAATTTCAACAGCCGCAGCAGCAACTGCAACAGCAGCAGCAGCAACCACAATTGCTGCTGCCCAACTACGTGAGCAATGCGGTGTTCCAGCAGCAACAGCAGCAGCACAGGGCTCGCCAGTTCCGCCAGGAGACGGGCGTGGGCAACTTCGGGTTGAATGCCAACGTGGAGATCCAGCCGAGTACCTCCTTTGCCACCACCATTGTCAGCCAGCAGTCTGCTTCTAATCCCAATCCCAGCCTGGAGAACCAGAACTTTTACAGGCAGCACCTGACGCCGCAGCTCAGCAGCCAGTTGCAGCAGAACGCTCAGCAATATCTGCAGCAGCAACAGCAGCAGTTGCAGCAGCAACAACAGTCGTCGGGTGGCGACACCAGTCCAGGTAATGCACCCTTCAAGGGCAGACAGGGCAGCCCCAGTGGCAACCTCCTTAGTCAATTTAGCAGCTTAAGAAACCTTGACGAATTGAAAGTAATCAGTAAAGTTTTAGCTCTCAACCACGGAATACCGCAGTTCTCCTCACAAAACCTGCACTTCAACGGGGCCTTTTGAGCACTTGCACCAACACCTGCACCACAATCACCACCCGACGCACTGCCCATAGCCCAGTCCATGGTCCGAAATTCCCTCACCACAAAAACGAACCTCCAAGACCCACTGTTTCCTCTTACACCTGACCGCAAGAGAGTCAGTCGTCCACAGCCCCTCTTCCAGTGGAGTTAAGTTTTACGCACAACATCTTTGTAAATATTCATTTTATTTTAAAACATAAGCATTACGACCTAAGCGAAATAAAAAACAGACAGAGAGAAAAGAGTGGGATGATCGACCGGCGGAGAGGAGGAGGAGCTCAAGGTGAGGCAGTTGGCAGAGCAAAGTGTTGAAATGTAATAATTATTTATTTTTATGTGAATAAAGTTTATCTTAAAGTACAACGGAAAATGGTATCCTTATTCCGCAACCCAAATTAAAAATATATAAATTAAGCTCAATCAGTAAACTTTATTAAATATTTTAAGTAAAGTAAAAAGCATTTGGAAACAATGCCGGCAGAAGCATCACCAAGGTACGTCTCTTGGGCTCATCATTTGGCTCTATGGGTACAACAGGTCGTCCCAATACTGAAAAAGGACCTATAAATATGCTTAGTCAATGCAAAATGCTATAGTTTGAGGGATTAGTTCACACACCTTTGAGGACATTAGCGGCTCCTGCATCCGGTTGGCAATATGCCACGGAGAACAGTGCCAATAATACCAAAACCAGACGGAGAAACATGATGTCTATGCTGAAATTCAACTAACAACTGTCTGTGAATGCTGGGCTTATATAGTACCTTACGAAAGTCAAGCTAATTACTTCTTAAGTTCAGTCATTAACTAGTCCTATCTATCAACTGTCAAACGTCCTATAATCAAACTAGGTTAATTTCTGATTTTTGTATTATGTTTTTATAAACGATCTAAAAACCCGTTTAATTATTTGAGGCTGAACACGAAGAAATGATTAAGTAAAAAACAAATCAGTACTAATATTTATTTATTAAAGAAAAAGCAAATATCTGCCTTTATAATTTATAAACTATACCCTTACCTCTGACCGAATAAGGAGTTTTTTAACGATATGATTCGACCCACATCAGTTGGGCGTAAGCAAGGATAGGTGTTTTCAGATATTATGAACATTTAAGGACATTTCTTCATGCAACAATAACATAATATAGATCGTAAAACCCCAACTTCTGTTCGAAAAAGCATATTTGTGGATAGAAAACGTCTATTATCACCACGTATTAGCTCCTTTAAAATATGTAGCTTTTTAGAAAGAACATTTGGATATCTCTGACATAAAAATGTGACTTTTCTCATGAAATACTCGTCAAGTTAAATTAGTTTTTGAATAAATTCAAAAATAACAGAAACTGTTAATCTTCGCCTCCTGTTACCATCTCTAGTGTCTATCGATATCGGTAAACGGTAAATACAAAACGACAAAAGTCAGCTTTTCTCGCCAATCAATTTGAATTTAATTAATCCAATTGCGCAAAACGCAACAATTAAGCTTGCAATGGATAAGTGACAATGTATTTTTAGCAATTGCCAATGCGAAATGCTGACGGAGCGATTAGAATCGGGAAACGCAGTGTGCGTCAAGCGTGAAAGCTTGCTAAGCTTTTATTTCAATTCTTCGATTCCCTTTGAAACGAGGATTGTTGCAATTTTTGTTTATAAACAATAGTTTAGTAGGCTGCCAGCCATCGCCCCCGAAGGAGCGCCATGTGGTCGCGCAGCAGCAGTTCCAAGCGCCAAGTGGCAACCAGCGACGACGATCCGGATAAGGTATTGAGGCAGGTGCAGGAGTTGAGCGACTGGCTTCTGGCCAATCCTCAGGTGAACGGGTGCAACTCGTTCGAAAACCTGTACTTCTTCCTGCGCACCTCCAAGTTCGACGTGGAGCGGACCAAGAAGAAGCTGAAGACCTTCTACCAGATGCGAGCGGAGCGAACGGAATGGTTCGATAATCGCGATCCCAAGCTGCCCGAGATCCAGGAACTCCTGGACCTGGGCGTGTTTCTGCCCCTTGGTCCGGATGCGGAACAGCGAATGGTGGTGGTCATCCGGACAGCGGCCCACGATCCCAAGAAGCATAACCAGAACAATGTCTTCAAGGTGAGTCAGCCAAACGTGCCCAGCTATATTTACATCTATATCCGACCTTTGTTCCGCAGACCAGCAAAATGATATTGGATCTGCTGCTGAAGCTCGAGCCGGAGACTTGTGCCCGGGGCATGGTGGCCATTCTGGACATGCAGGGCGTTCAACTGGGTCACGCCATGCAGCTAAATCCGAAGCTCATCAAGCGATCCGTGGAAAGCTGGACAGCGTATCCGTGTCAACCGAAGCTACTAGAGTTCACAAACGCCCCGCGCCATGTCAACATCTTCCTGAATACTTTCAGGTGGGTTTTCTCCAGAGAATTTAGTTCCCAGACTTACCGATCAAACATAATTGCAGGATTTTCATGACGCCCAAGATACGATCACGGCTGTTTGTACGCAAAGAAGGAACCTCTGTGATCTGTGATCAATTGCCCAAGGAACTGGGTGGCCAGGGTCTGGGGTATAGGGAACTAGCCCTCAAATGGAAACAGTTGCTGGAGGAGAATGCCGATTTCTATGTGGAGCAAGACAAATACAAAAGCAAGCTCAAGTGATTTGGGGTTAGTGTGGCGGCAGTGATAAGGCGGCGATTAGCCGAACGAACGCCAAAGAGATTAGTTGGACACATTTTCAATGCGCAAATGCACACAGGCGCATATCAGTTGCCATGCATTAAGGAAGGTTACCCTAAGTAGAGCCTAAGCCCCACAAGACCATAAATATATTGCGTCACATAATACCTTGTCCGAAGAGGTATTTTTACCATATGAAAAATCTTTATTTCTTTGTTTTTATATATTTTTGTTTCTCAATAAATAGTGTCAATGGACGATAAACCAAAACGAGAGAGCTCATGCTCTGTGGCTATATTCATAATATTCTCTTTATTAGTATAAAACGTATCAAAAATGTTTATCAAGTCTACAATTATTATCAGTTATTGGGTGCTGGTCGACCGCCGCCTCACATTGCCGGGGGTTTTTGCATTACAAAATCGTTTAGTTTAATCCGCTGCAGGGCGCCGAGCTACATAGCGATAGTTTAATAGTAATAAATACATACATACATACAGAAAGAAGAACGATAAACAAGGAAACACGCTTAGTTTTGTGAACGTAATATTGTGGATTCTCGTAAGCTGGGGTGTGTGTGTGTGTTAGTAATAGAGGGCGTGCTGCTGCCGATGCTTTCAGTTTTCTCCCTTACAAATACATATAAATATGATTTATATATTCCTTAAAGTTACGATTCACATATAAAAATATAGTAGTTGCTCTGGATCGGCCATAGTTCGGCTCTCTTCTCCGACCGACCGCCTGCTTAGTGGGAGCCCGCGAAGCACTGAACAAAACTTAAGAGATATAAACGAGGAAAGGAAAGGCGGTAACTAACTAAAGCGTAATACACAAGTCTGCCAGAGCGCTCCCATCACAAGTCCAACTGCAAGCCACCGCCGGAATCGGCGGCACCCTGCAGTGATTCCTATTAGACATATACGCCGCCGCGCCACGCCGCCGCCGCCGCCGATTTTTGCCTTATTTGACGCGCCGCCGCCAAATTATGAAAATAACGGCGCGCCGCGGCGCGCCGCTGGTGCGGCATCGGCGCAGCTTCAGCGCGGCCTTCAGTGTCATTGTTCTTTATAAAACTTAAAAAAAAAAAAAAACTCATTAAAATGGCCTTTTTGCCTTATTTGACGCGCCGCCGCCGCCGGTTCTTTCTGACTACTACGCCGCCGCCGCCGAGTCATTTTGACCTCTACGCCGCCGCCGATGCCTTTAACCATCGGCGTAAACCTCTAATTCCTATATCTGCCGCTCGTCTTTCGCCGTCAGCTTGTCGATCAGCTCCTGGAGCGGGGCCAGCTCGCGCCGCTCGATCAGGTTGAACTCCTGCACGAAGAAGATGAAGTGCTTGAAGGACGTGTTCAGGTGGGCCTCCTCGCCCAGCGTCACCACCTCGGTGAAGTGCTGGTGGTAGATGTGCGCGTACACCCGGAACAAACGCTTCAGTATGGTCTTGGCGGAGGAGTGAAAGTTCTTTGGAAACGGCACACCGATTTTGGACGGAAATAGGGTTTCGTCGTCCAGCTGGTCCTGCACCCAGGTCATCAGATAGTCAATGTACTTGGGGGCGCTGCACTTGATGGGCTTCTTCACGGTCAAGCCGTCGGCCCAGTGGTATTCGTATTTCGGGCCAGCCGACATGATGCCACAGGTCTCCTCCGTGCAGAACTCCGTAATGGTGCCGTAGAGCATGTTGATCTGGTTGAAGAAGTCCACGGCTGTATGGAAATGAGCAAGGATTGGCATTAACTAGTGGCTTTCGCAGGCTAATAACCACTCACTATTCACGGCCACCCACTCGTTCAGATCCTCGCCATCCGGCAAAGCCACGGCGTTGCGCAGGTTGCCCGATCCCAGCGTGGCGGCCGCATGCTTCATGAGATCATACTGGTGGGTGCCCTCCGGAATGTTCTTCTTCGGCTTGAAGGTCTTGCTGGAACGGGAACCGCTGCGCAGAGGGAAAGGCGATTAGTCGTGGCCCCAACAACCCTCCGAGAAACCAGGAGATGGGGAAATCGCCCCACCGCAGAGCTTGTGGCGAACAAAGCAAGCTAGGGGGCGGGGTGGCCCAAGCTTTCTTTGTGCTGCACAGGACTGCAGATGGCGAAATCACCCGTGTGCTTTGTTGCTTTTTTTTCTGATTAACTTACAACAAAAAGTCCATGGCATGCAGTTCTCGTGCTCTGCCTTTCACCTGCTACGAATTGGATTTTCCGCTGCAAACCCTTTTCCAGAGATTGCCACTCTGCTTTTCCGACTGTCCTGCGACGCGTCAGCCAGCAAGTTCCGCAGTTGTTTCCAGCAATTACTGCCGAATAATAATCAACAAAATCGCTGGAATTTGCAGCAGGTTTCTTTCTGGGGCCAGGAGCGAGTGGAATTTGAGCTTCTTCAGGCGGAACCTCTCAGTGTAACCGTGTCGCAGCGGGACCGCAACAGCTGATGCAAACGATTCCAGGAATTGTGCAGTGAAACTACTTCTTTCTGTTGTGTTTATAAACGCAAAAAATTGTTATAAATAAAAATAAAATTACTTTCACACACAGAGACACAGAGGTGCGAGCGGGACAACACGACAGGCAACGGACTGTCGACGTGGCCAGCCTGTTGAAACTGCTGTGATGCCCTCCATCGGTATTTTTTGGTATGCTGATGGTATACCTGGCCCGGCAAGCTATGGTCACACTGCAGTCGTAGCACGTGGAAAAACAACTGTGGAAGCATTTTCTGTGGATAAATATATAATTCTATATAAAAACGGCATATATTCGGCATAAATATGGTAAATATTCATTCGGAAGAAAGATAACGTTGAAAAGCAAAAGAACATGCCTAGGATGAGTATGTTTTTATGAGAAAAACTAACCTTAACTGGAGCCCCTTAGGGGAGCACCCAAAAGCACATGTGTTTGCCACCGCACCAAACTCATAATCACTCGTTTTCCCCTCCTCCAGTCGAGTCTGTATGTGCTGTACGAGCATGCGGCGGGCTTCTCGCTTTTCTCCGTCAAGGAGTTCGAGGAGGTGTCCATGTTCCTGCCCCAGGTGGAGTCCTCGGTGACGGATATCGCCAAGTTCAACTCCATTGTGAAGCTGGCCGGATTTGCTCCCTTTAAGACGGCCATCGCCGCGTTGGAGAACATCAATGCCATTTCCGAGGGAATCGTGCCGCAGGACCTGCTCACTTTCCTCGACGATTTCTTTGCCAAGCTGAAGAAGAAGAAGTGCACCCTGGGCATTGCGGATGCCAAGCTGGGTGCAGCCATCACCGAGGCGATTGGCGTACAGTGCAGTCACTTCGGAGTTGTTCCTGAGATTCTGCGCGGCGTGCGCTTCCATTTCGCCAAGCTGGTCAAGGGTAAGCTTATGCCAGTCCTTGGGAAATAACTTCCTCTAATAACAATGCTCTCCTTTCCGCCGCAGGATTCACGGACAAGTCTGCTGGCGTTGCTCAGCTGGGTCTGGGCCACAGCTACTCGCGTGCCAAGGTCAAGTTCAACGTGCATCGTTCGGACAACATGATCATCCAGTCGATTGCCCTGCTGGATCAGCTGGACAAGGATGTGAATACCTTCTCCATGCGGATACGCGAGTGGTACTCGTACCACTTCCCAGAACTGGTCAAAATCGTTCCCGACAACTACATGTTCGCCAAGTCGGCCAAGTTCATCAAGGATCGCAAGAACCTCACGCAGGATCAGCTCGAGGATCTTGAGAAGATCGTCATGGACTCGGCCAAGGCGCAGGCCATCATCGATGCCGCCAAGATGTCCATGGGCATGGACATCTCCATCGTGGATCTGATGAACATTGAGCTCTTTGCCGAGCGCGTTGTGAAGCTCTCCGAGTACCGAAAGAAGCTGTCCACATACTTGCACAACAAGATGAACCTGGTGGCGCCCAATCTGCAGTCTTTGATTGGCGACCAGGTCGGTGCCCGCCTGATTTCGCACGCTGGAAGTTTGACCAATCTGGCCAAGTACCCGGCATCGACGGTACAGATCCTGGGCGCTGAGAAGGCGCTCTTCCGCGCTCTGAAGACCCGCTCCAATACGCCCAAGTACGGTTTGATCTATCACTCTTCGTTCATCGGACGTGCGGGCCTGAAGAACAAGGGCCGCATCTCTCGGTTCCTTGCCAACAAGTGTTCCATTGCCTCGCGTATCGATTGCTTCTTGGAGCAGCCCACCAGCGTTTTTGGCGACACGCTGAAGCAGCAGGTCGAGGATCGTCTTAAGTTCTACGAGTCTGGCGATGTGCCGCGCAAGAACATCGAGGTAATGAAGGAGGCCATCGAGGCAGCCGGCCAGGAGACTGCAGCCACTGCTCAGTCTGAGAAAAAGAAGAAGAAGAAGAAGCGCGCGGCCGAAGATGAAGCGGAGGCAAATGGCGCCAGCAATGGAAACGGAGCCGCCGCAGAGGCAGATAATGGCAACGGAGACGTTGATGGAGAGCCAAAAAAGAAGAAGAAAAAGAAGAACAAGAACAAGGAAGCCGTCGAGGCGTAATTTTCCCACCCAGATTCAGCCTAGTCTTAAGTCCAAAATAACGTTTTATTTTACACACTTCTTTTGTATTCTCCTTGACCACAACGGATCCATTTCAAATTCAATAAACCATATACTTAGGGTACTTATCCCAGAATTTTGTCTATATCCTGAAGCCAGATGAGTTTAAAGAGGGCTTTTGGTTACTTAATATCTGATAAATAACAGAATTGCTTTCTATGGTAAGAGTTTAAGAAACAAGTTCACCTAAATACTTCGTTCAATCGAAAAGCATAACGAAGACAAAGTATAGGTGAAGAACATCGATGTTGTTAAATTTTTTTGATGCATTGAGGTTTCAGATCAATAAGCTGGACTCTCTCGAATCTCTGGTTTCCTTAATAACACTCCGATACCACCAGCATTCCACAAGATCTTAGGTTTTATTTAACCAAAGAGTTAGAAGTCAAGACCTCCCCATTTTTTTTTTTAATTTGTTTTATATTTCATATTTCTTTTACATACATTTTTTATATACAGACACATCGTAACTTTAACTATTGCTAAAATTGTTTGATTTCATTATTTGTAGTATTTATTCTTGTTTAACAATTTCAATGATGGATCGCTCAGCCGTCCGTCCGCGCGTTGTGCTAACAAATCCGTTCAGTACAACCATTTATTCAACTACTACACTCACTGTATTGCATTTGATGACATTCAAACTCTGAGTGGAAAATCAGGACGGATGTGGGAGTTCATGCATGGGTTGCGATCCGGGGACTGCATCGGGGGTGGGGGAACAGGAAAACTGCGATTGTTTAACAATTAATTTAGCAACAAATTGCACGCTTCGCAAACTTTATACAGTACAAGGGTAAGGCTAAAAAATAGAACTGACAAGTTCAGCGAACGTGGAAATGTGAATGTGTGCGAGTGGAAATTGGAAAAGTAGTTCAGGGCGAGGGAGGGGTGGGGGTAGGGGGAGCAGAAAATTAGGCTAAACAATATCATTGAAACAAGTCGAAGGCCGACGAGCTATTATTGTTATTATTGCTGTGGTTCTGATGCTGCTGCTGCTGCTGGAACGCTCCAAAGTTGGCAAATGCTGATTGGTTTTGTGGAATGCTTTGCTGAGGGACCTGTGCTCCGAACAGATTCGGACTGGTCATCGGCGATAGTCCAGGGAATCCGCTGCCGCCGGTCTGCACATTCAGCGGTGCCTGGCCTGACTTCGCCGGGCTCTGCGTCTTCATGCTGTTCATCGACAGAGCTGGGGCACTCGCCTTGCCCGTCTTGCTCATCAACAGGTTGTCGAGGTCGATGTTCAGGTTGCCAGCCTTCAGATTGCCCGACCAGGTGGCGCCCACATTGATGGGCGCGGCGGCGGTAACAGCTCCGTTGGTATTATTATTGTTATTAATATTATTATTGTTGGTAACAGACATCGGTTGGAGAAGATCATTGCCCGTGACGGCGGCGATGGGAGGCAGCATATTGTCTGGAAAAACAAGAGCAGCATAAACGTTATTATTGGCTTTTGGCATCGGGTTTACTTGGGTTAAGAAAGCTAGCTGACTGTAGATGAGTGGCTTCGATAGAGTTGCGAATGCGACTACTTGGTGATCGTCTAATGAGGTGGTGGTCACTACTCGGAAGCGTTTGCGCGGCAAATCAAGTTGACAAGTGCAGTTACAAAGTCAAAGAATAGGTTCATATAGAGATACTGAGCTATTGCTGCTAGATTGGGTTGCTTTTCGTTTACCTAATGAGTCCGCGCCGGGGGCGCAATGCCCGGTATATTGAGAAATGCTTTTCAATTCACCATTTTTAGGTACATATATATTTGGGAAATTAAATTAGATCCGATGTGTGTGTGTTTGTTTGGGTTGCAATACAAATATGCAGTGGGAGAAAAACAAATAAACAAAAGAAAGTAGTTTAAATGATATAAATCCGTATATACCTGCAATACAATGGCTTGTGTCGGCTTCAAACTTAAGGCTAATTGTCATTATCAACTGAATTACATTTTAAAATACTAGGGAAATGTTTAAGGACACGGGTTTCAAGATTATAGGTATGTGTATATTCCGAAAGGATTTTAAGGACACGGGTTTCAATGTGTGTTTTCTGAAAGGTTTCATATTTGGATATAAACGTAAGGCTAGGTTTAGAGATTTCTCCAGCGAAATCAACAAATACGTAATTTCGTAAATAGTTTTTAACTTTAAGCATTCAAAAAAGATGAAAAACGACGAGCAACAGTTTTAGCTCGGTGAAGATATGACGCGCGAACTTATGTCGCTACCCTATTCCTTATGACCTATAACTAGGCAGCCTGTTCCATGGCGGCTGCATCGAAGAGCTTGTAGCAGGTGTCCAGGATGCTCTGCGCCAGATCTCGGCACTCCTCCGATGTCTCCCCGCCCACAAGGGGCGAACGCACAAAGTCCTCCAGCCAGCGCTGCAGCTCGTTTAGAGACTCGGCAAAATGCTGGGCCAGTACATGGCCAGGGGTGGTGACCAAGGCGATACCAATCAGCTGCAGAGTGGCCGCACGCACCCGAGCCTCGGCATTGAAGCGCACAAAGGCGCACAAATCGAAGATCTCGCGGGTCATCGCCGGCAGGAGTGGACAGTTCTGGGAGCACATGACCAGCACGGACAGAGTGTGCAGCAGATTCACCAGCAACTGGGTGTCTATGTCGTGGGCAATATCCTCGTACTTCACAAACAGCATCTGGCGCGTCCGCTGGCCCCTCACCAGGCTGAAGAAGAAGGTGCCGGCTACCGGATGGAAGGGATTCGCTCTCTCCACTCGCTCTCCCGTCTTCGGCTTGCTAAAGTATCGCTTGGTTTTGGCTCGAAGGCGTTCGCGGATTATCTTCTGGGCAGCCGCCAGACGCGCTGCTGGACTCACTTCCGCGTTTTGGAGCTCAAATTTGCGTGGTTGTTTGGCTGCAGGTGGCACAATGTCCAGGCTCACTGCCTCACTGGGCTTCATCTCGTCGCCGGAGAGTTCTTTGGCTGTCGCTGCCAGCACCTGGAGGATCAGGATACGCACATTGGCCGCATAGGTCGAGTTGTCGGTGTGGAACTGACGGCACAGGTGCTCTGCGCACGGACCAGGGTGGGCCACACAAATGGCCACACAACACTGAAATTGTGTGCGCTCAAAGTTCTCGAAATAGAACTGCATGTCCAAAGTGAGGAACAGCTGCAGCAGGTCCAGGGCCAGCTGTGCGTCGTGCCTGCCGAGTTGGCCACGAATGAGAGACTCCGCGGTGCTCAGAGCGCCCTCAAAGACCTGATAGTTGTCCACTTTGGTGCGAAGGAGATGCAGCAGGTCCAGCAGGAATTTCGGACGCTGTTCGAGGGTGCTGGTTATGTCGTTGGACATGTCATATGGCTTCAGATCGTCATCATCCTCATCCAGTGGCTCGTCATCGTCCGAGTCCAGCTGCATTTTGACATTTTCCTTCCCTGCGATTGGCTTTGTATTAGTAATGATCTTGGGGCGAGTCTGCTGCTGAATTTCCTCAGAGCTGCCCATAAATTCCTTGAGATGTGATTCCAACTGTTTCAGGTGCTCTTCATCGATCTTTTCATCCAGAGTCGACTTGCTGGCGCATTCAAACTCCGCTAGCTCGTCCAATTCCTCAAAGATGTGCCACTGGGGTGTGCCCTTCATGGATTCGTAATCAAATCGAAGTCGATCCTCATCCTTTGTATCCGGCAGAGCCATAAAGTTAAAGAGCAGCTCCACTGTTTTCATTCCCACATAACGCTGCACTGAGTCTGGCGACTGCAAATGGTTACTAAGTCCGTCGTGGAGCTGCCGCTTGCTGTCGAACTCAACCTCCAGACCTCGATACAGGCACTTTCCTGCCGCCACGAGGAACTTGGAAATGGCCAAGTGCTCCTGGCTGCTCAGTTTATGCAACGAAATGCGCTTGGACCATATGCCCAGCAACTGATTGAAGAGCACCTGCAGTTGTCCAGGCTTAGACACATTAAGATAAGTCGTCAGCGTCTTAATTTGCTTGTTTTCCACAGGCGTCCGTTGCAGGGGTAACTTTTGCAGCAGACAGTGCTTCCAGTGAGGGACTTCCAGCGCCGATGGTCCTAGCAGGACATAGAGATTCAGTTCGGCAGAGAGTGCCGACTGGGCGGCCTTAAGACAAGCACTTGGATCCAGTTGCATCATGACGGCTTGCACCACCTTCCTCCCTCTGCGAGGCACCGCGCAGTCCTTCATCACTCGCAGTAAGCCCTCCAGAGTTGGGACATCGTTTTGAAGGTTTATAAGCTGCGACAAGAGCCAGGAGTGAGGGGTTAGGTCGAAGTATTCCTCGTCATCCTCGCATTGCAGCAGAAAATGGAAGGATTTCAGCCATTGACGCAGCAGGAGCTGCTGGTAGGGAACAGGAGCAAACGCCTGCGGCAGCTGGCGACCCAGACGATTGGCTACGTGGCCGGGCAGACCGACGAGCAGTTGAAAGAACGCCTTCACCTGGGCATCCAATTCCTCAATCCGTCTCTCTGGCATTACTTTGATGGTCCGAGCAAATCGCTGCATCAAGGAGCCCCTCTGGCGGGAGATGTGCAGCAAGGCAATGGGTACCAGGCAGTCATCCTTCAGCAAATGCTCCAGCAAGGAGGCAACAGTCCCCGGAAACTGATCCAATCCTGTCTGAAGCGTCTCAAAGGCTACCAGGACATAGTCGAAGCTGTGATCTAGCATAAAGAGATTCACGAGATCCACATCCCTCGAGGGTTCGGGCCAATCCTGACTGAAAAGCTCGACCACTTGGCTAAGCAGCGAGGCGTACTCTCCGTTGGCCAGCGAACTCCAGTCGCAGGTCTGACGATCGAGGCCCACCAACTGCTCCGGGGTGGTGAAGCCAGGCAAGGCATTTGATTGGTGGATCTCTCTGATAATGACTGCCACCTGGTTGGCCGAGGAAGCGCTTTGGACCTGCTCCAAGTCGCGCAACTGCTTCTGCGCCTTGGCCAATGCCAGACGCACCGACTCCGGCGGCGGCGGCGGCGGAGGCGACACCCGATAGCCAACGGATGCCAACTGCTCTTCGACAGCTGCGAGAGAGAACGAGAAGAGAACGTGTGCATCCGATTGGAATATGTTGCCGTTTATGTGTGAGGAGGAGGGTGAAAGAGTGTTTCACTGTGTGCGGGCGAGGGGAGCTCGACGTAGAGATAGTGGCTCTAGTCAAGCTCGGGAGGGGCGCCGTCATGCAGCGGTTCCTAGATACATCATGAAGTGACCAAGGCCAAGACAATTACTCTATAGCTAAACTTAAGCATAAAACGAGGCTAACACTATTAGGCTACGCGAATCGAGTGGCAACTCACCCATGGGCATGCTTTGGTGTATGGACAGATCGCCCAGACCCGCCAGGAGATCCGTAGCCGTGGTGGCCGACGCCGTCGTTGTGGGCGCAGCGTTGAACAGGTCGAAGGAGTCGTTGGCCGGCGTGGCCGTCTGAAGCATGGTCCCATCCAGAGCAGAGGTCGACGTAGTCGAGCCTTGGAAAGCAGCAAAGTCGGCAAACTCATCGTTGGTGGCCGGTATGAGGCCCGTGGAAGGAGGCTCGCTGGCCGGACCTGCTGAGCTACCGCCAAAGGCCGAGGCAAAGTCGCCGAACTCCTGCTGGCCACCGTCACCAGCCCGCGGATTGAAGTCATCATCGTCATCCACAATCACTGCGGCGCTGTTCAGGTTCTTCTCCTGCGTTGGCGACGGCGAGCAGGTCTTGAACAGATCGTCCAGCAGATCATTACTATTGCTTTGCGTATTATTGTTTGCCTTGGAGGTGGCGGGCGAGCTGGCGCCCATCAGGTCCACGCTGGTGGGTGTGTCTCGGTGCGTTGGCGAGTGTATGCCGGCAGCTCCGCCAGGCGCTGGCTTTCCGAAGCTGGCCGCCGCCCCAAGATCGATCTTCTTTTGCGACGCCGCCGGCTTTGTGGCAGCCGATGACGTTGGCTGCTTGGACACCGGCGAGCTAACGGCCTTCGATCGGATGTTCATGTTTAGGCTGGAGGGCTTGGCCTCGCTGGCCACTTCGGCGGGACTGGCTCGGTCGTTGTAGCGGTAGTTACGTCTGCGGTGGGATAGAAATTATGTATTTTATATGGGTGGTTCCAGGCCGTTTTAATCGTAACACTTGCCTTGGACTGGGTGAGTCGCTGTCGGATCCCTCGCGCTCTCCGTCGTAGTGAGTATCATCATCCTCGTACCGATCCTTGTCGTTGTTCTTGTCGGAGTCTGCAATAAGAATCGAGAATAAAGCTTTAGGTCGGATACAAAGTTTGGAAGCTCTCGTTTTTACTCACACCAATTGTCGCCACGACTGGACCGATAGTCTCCGCCGTCGTTGTAGCCTCCACTGCCGCTGCCACCACCTCCACTGTAACCGCTGTAGCCACCGCTTCGCATGCCCATCGCATCGCTGCTCATACCGATGTACTTGTCCTTGTTCTTCTTCGCCTTCTTGCGCTCCTCGCGCAGCCGATCGTCGTCCTGAATGAAGTCTATAAGCTCTCGTACCTTATGCCTAACGTTAATACCCTGATCCTTGCCGCCCTCGTCGGTGAACGTGTAGTTCTCCAGCGAGCGGAGATCGTAGATGTGCTCCCTCGAGGAGGTCACCACCCGCTCGGAGCCGTTCCGCACCAAGTAGTTGAGCAAGAGGAGGCTCTGCAATGGGCAGAAATTTCATGAGGAACTGATGGTTATGATTGAGGGTTCGAATATCACCTTGTAGGTGCGGCGCCAGTTGGTCTTGTTGTCCTGCAGCATCCGTTTCCACAGCATGGACATCACCTCCGGGAATGTCTCGTAAGAGAATGTGGCGTAGGCCAGCTCCTGCATCAGTGGCCCAGTGGGGCCCCAGGGATCATCGTTGGTGGCCTCCCGCACTTTGCCCTCCGTCTCCGTGTAGTTCATCACGACATTGGTGCTGTAAGATGGATGTAATCGGGTTTAAACCAAGTTTAATGTACTATAAATAAGCTAACTACCAAAACGGTGTAAATAGATTTAAAGTAAAGCTATAAATGCTGAGCTTTTAATGTGTAAATCACACATTTTCGACTTAAGTTTATTGATTTGCATTTCTACGTAACTCCCCGATAAGGTAAACTCGGTGCAAAACAAGCCCCTTTTCAAATAATTGATCCTACAAAACGGCTAAAGTTAAATCATTTTGTTTTAAATATTGTATTACAAAATATTTAGAGGTCTAGGAATTATAGAGAATCTAGACTGCCCTCCTACCTGTCTCCAGGATCATCCGATATGAAAAATTTGTAATGAATATGTTAAAGGATAAGTGTTTTTATTTTAACATTGTTTTTCCCGTGTTCTTGGAAGTCGAAAACCCAAATTTTGACTAAAAAGTTAAGTTAATTTGTTAAATAAAATACACTTAAAAATTTAAAAAAGCCTAACGTACCTAAAGGAACCTGTAGAATTGGTTAAAGAAGTTATGTGCCAAATTTAAACTTTAACTGTTTGATGCTGATACATTGAATACCAAGCGACCTCCGTTTAACTATGCATAACTTCTTGAATTTTGCTATTATCGATGTAAAACTTGGACACAATATTCCTAATATATTAAGCCTTAAAAAAATTAAATACCTCAGCCCCCTCTTAAAGTAAAGCTATAAATTCTGAGCTTTAAATGTGTAAAGCACACATTTTCGACTTAAAACTAGTTTATTTATTTTCGCTTCTACGTAACTCCCCGATATTCATCTAAAAAAGTTAGATAACGCCTGTTTTTCTTGGGCTTTGATTTATTGATTACGTTTATAAAGCTGATACCTAGCGATTTTCCCTGTTAATCAGAGGTAGTATCTTTAAGTAAACGATGTGCGACAACAATGCGGTTTTACAGTGCCCAGATAGAGAGATAAATAAATAAAAAGCAAACAGTCTTGGCTGGCTCTTGATAGGCATTCGAAACGTGACGGTGACGGGAGAGCGGCAGCAAGTGCCAATTGTCGCAACTGGGCCAGTTTCTCTTATCAGGGGCAGATAAGACCCAGGAAAAGTGTTTCGTCTGCCCCGTAGGAACCTGGAACTCCACTTCACCCGATAACTAGCCATTTGGAAATACGAGAACTGTGCGCCTGATTAGCTACAGAGTTCGGGCCAACTCTAGCCAGCCATAAAAGGGGCTGGTGGTGAAAGGGGCTCCCGTAATTAATAACAAAACAGCAACAGCAATTTCACTGGAAAGCCAGCCAGCTAGCCAGTCGATGTGGCTGGAAGTGTTAACACAGGTGGAACATTTTGTTATATTTGGGCAGCCGCAGCCGAAAGCAAACAAATTGTTTCTTGATAAACCCCCGCTCACGCTCACACCACCACTGCTCCTCTCACACCCCCCGCTCGGATATGGGTATGGGGGTATCGGAATGCGGCTGTGTGAGTAAGCCCGTTCAAAGCTGCGAACAACCTTGAAAGCAGCAACAAAAGCGACCATAATCCAGCACCCGAATGCAGCGGATCCAAACTAATGGATCCGCTCCGTGAATAATCTGGGACTTGGGCACGGAAACCAACTATTAACACCTGTGCGGAGGAGGGGGCGTGGCGGGAAATTGTAGAATTTCGGGGCGTGGGAGCGGCCACAACAAATGCACTTGCTTCGACGGGCTGTGGTGGTACATACAGACGGGGAGGCTATCTACACTCATTCACTACTTACACCTTGTCCGCCAATTCGCGCACTTTCCACATGCTTATGAACTTATCAACCATTTTGGAGCAATCGAATGCCACGGAATTTTTCACACAATCTCGGCGAACGGTGGCTGGAAAACCCAACTACAACAACTCGAACTCGTTTTTGCTTGGCGTGCCGTCTTTGTTGTTGCTCGTGTGCTGCCGCACTTGATTGTTTAATTACGTATGTATTTATTGTTGTTATTTATTGGCTTTTATACTACACTTGCAAACAAAAATCTAAAAAGGTAAACCAAAATTTTAAAACGAAATCACAGCAGAAATTTTTTTGGTGAGTTGTCCCAGTGTTGCCAGATGAAAATTTGGCTTTCCCCTAAAAAATCTCGAAAGCCCAGAAAATGGCCAGAGTTGGAAAACTCTCGATGATGAATCGAGGTATCGCACAGCACTGCCACAATCGATACTATCGATATCACTATCGAGTTTTTTTGCAGCTCTATCGAGCAGGCTTCGCTTTGCTCATCCCCCAAAAAAAATCAACAACAAAAATCGCCGTCGACGACATATTTTATTTTGGCAAGCAAACGCCGCCGACAAAAGCAAAAAGGCGCGCTTGAACACAAGGACTTCAACCCGAGGTGGTCATTTGCTGGAACACAGCTGCTGTTAGAGTTAGAAGATCCAAGCGAGAGTGCGAAAATGGATGACTCACGCGAAGAAAGCCAGTTCATCGTGGACGACGTTAGCAAGACAATTAAGGAGGCCATCGAGAGCACCATCGGCGGCAATGCCTACCAGCACGACAAGGTGAACAACTGGACCGGCCAGGTGGTGGAGAACTGCCTCACCGTGCTGACCAAGGAGCAGAAGCCGTACAAGTACATAGTGACTGCCATGATCATGCAGAAGAACGGGGCTGGCCTGCACACGGCCAGCTCCTGCTATTGGAACAACGACACTGACGGATCCTGCACAGTGCGCTGGGAGAACAAGACCATGTACTGCATTGTCTCCGTTTTCGGGCTGGCCGTCTAGAGGCCAGCTGAGGACCGGAGGGTCGTCCAGGAGAACGAGGAGGAAGAGGAAGTCAATAATCGATACTAACTAATAAGGGGGGAGGGAATAACAAGATTGCCGTCGGAGCCCAGGCACTTTTCGGTCGGCTAGCCTGCTACGAGGACGAAATTAACCATGAACCACAATCGAGTTGGAGACATGTTGTATCCCAAGGAATTAAGCGCCTAATGTTACTCTTGATTTTCAATTTAAAAAACCCTAAATAAAGTAATGTAAAAATAATGAATTACCCATGGAACAGCACTTTATTTCCTACAACAAACGCCGTTTGGAACACGGCTAAAATAAACTTTATTGACCCGCCTGCCAGGGTTTGTTTAATCGATGGCGGGGCGGGGTGTCCTTGGCGCGCTACACCTCGGCTCCTACTTCTTGCGCTGGAACCGGCGTCCCGCTTTCAGTGCTGGAACCTTGCTGGGCAGGCGCAGGCTCAGCGTATCAGAGCGGGACTTCGGCAGGGCGTTGACGATATGGGCGTACTGCTTGATTCGCTCCTTGCTGGTGGCCAGTAGGCGGGAGAGGACATTGATATCCACTTCGTGCTTCTCGCTGATAAGCAAAGCCAGAACAATAAAGTGTGTTAAAGCCTTCTCCGTGCTGAAGTTGGTGCGAGTGCCTCGCTTGGCCACATTGGGATCCGCAAAACGATGACGGATATCGTTCTCAATCTTTTCCGTGATCCGCGAGAGTTCCACCTTCTGCATTTGTCGAGAACGCAGGGAAATCAGTGACTGCAGAGCGTCCATGTATATGATTATCTTGATGTGCAGCATGTCCTGCTTGGAGGTTATGCTCTTCTCCTGAATCCGGGCCAGGCAATTCTTGAGGTATTCGGACTTGATGCTGAAAATGTCCCAAAAGGTTAGCTGGATACTCGGTTTTATGTAATTTTATACTTACGGAAGGCTCTGGGCGGGCGTGGAATAGACAACTTTGGCCTCTTCGTCCAGGCGTTCGAGCAGGGCACTGGGAATGACATCCTCCACATCGTAGACATGGTCCAGGTTGGTGGCCGCCTTGTCGCACTTTGGTACAATGGTGGCCAAGTACTCCTCGTTGCTAATGCTAACATCCGCCAGCGTGTCATCGTCCTCGTCGCCCTCCTGCTGGGCCGATAACTTTACCGTTTCATCCAGGTCCTGGCGCACCACATCCACGTTAACTAACATCTTCTCGTGATTGTCCACGAACCGGGACGCCTTCCGTCCACCGAATTCTTTGAGCAGTTTCTTGTTGGCGTGCTCCCTGCTCAACATGGGAATCCTTCGCTTCTGGCGATCCATTTGCTGGTAAATGTTGTTGGAGAGTAACGCCTGTTGCATGGGCACAATCTGCACTTTGTTGGTGGACTTGTCACGTAGGCAAACGTAGGTATCGTACTGCTGGCTGTCCTGCAGGTCACCTGTGTACGCCTGCTGGCCGGCCACGATGAGAGCTTGCTTCTTCCGGTCCGTCGTGCTCTCCATGGTGCAGAAGACACCGGTGCCCCCAAGTGATCCATTCTGGAACTTCACTGCAAAGGGCCAGATATGATTTATTTTGATGTAAAATCCATGTCTTTCATGACTCACCTGCGGTGGGCAGCTGCTCGTTCCGTTTGTGTTTGCAGACGGTCTCAATATCCGTCTTGTTTTCCATTTTATTAGTTTTTAAAGTTATAAAATTCCTTTACAACATTTAAAAACAAACAGCACGTGTAAAATTAATAAGGATGGGAGCTGTTCGATTTCTTTATCGATACTATCGATATCTCTTTCGGTTGTTCTTATCGCTGACATTTGCCATATTCAGCTGTTTAAAGAGAGTTGCCAGAATTTTTAAAGTCACAAGACCGTTAAAATTTAAATTTTATATATTTTTATTTAAAATAATTAAAAATAAATTTTATCTTAATATAACTTTTAGAAATCTCCTTATGTTCGCTGGACAACATCTGGTATAAGGCCAAATCCGGAAAATGTGTAATGCTTGCTCTTCACGATCTTCACCACTTGCTGCAATTTATAATTAATTCTATTTATTATTTCGAAGTTATTTTGCCTTTAGCCTACCATGACCAGTTTGATGAGAAAAACTGCAAAAGTGAGAAAGTTAATGCTCATAATGGCCGCCTCTGGTGGAAAATCTATATCCGAATCATCAAGCAATCCACGGCGACGTCGCCTTTTTCGCTCCGGTGGCTGCCAAAGAACCGCAAATTGTTGCTCTGCGTGAAAAATATATTATATTTATAAAAACTTCATAGATCTAATTAAATTTGTTAAATTATGTCACCGAAGAAAATTGTGCATCTCCGCTAAATATCTGTTTATTAATCTATAAATATCCTTCTAAATTTTACGCACCAATAAGTCGCATGAGATTGTCGCGCAAATTTTGCAGCAGCTTTATCTTCTTGCTAAAGGTAAGGGCAGATTTTTTGATCCAGGTCTTCTGCAAGGTATTTAGGAACTTGAGAAATCCTTGCATGCTGGGCAGCTCGATGCCATCAGCATCTTCTGACGGCTGCTCGGTGGTCTCCTCCTCGGCAGATTGATCACTGACATTCTCCGGTGCATTTGACGAGTGTCTCCTGGATGTGGTCTCCACTTTTGGGGTCACCACCTCCACATTCAGGTTGGGTGGCGCCTTTGTGGAGCTCATCATTATCGGGGGATTATTGACGCCAAATCGCTCCCGCTGATACTCCAACCAGGCGGCACTGGGCGTGGTGAAGTCATCTCCCTGATGACTGATCCCGTAGAGAATTATAAGAAGAAAACACTTTATCACCAAACGAGGCATCTTCTCTGGTGGATTGCCGCTTAAGAACTACTGTGAAAAACTGCGAAAAAGTCTTTCTCGGGAAAGGTGTCAGTCGTTCTAGTCCAGCGATTTTTGTGATGCAGAGAGACAAGTGACGATTAAGACAACCATGTGGGTGACAGGAAAAAGTTTACAGTCATGGGTACTGGTAAAGCTAAAAAAATAGTGTCTTGCGCCATTTAACTTGTAGGCCTGGGAGACGGGGATTCCCCTAAAGCTCATTCGGGGTCTAACTGATCTTCAGAGACGGCTTAGGGCCTTAAAAATTTGGACTAGCTCTGATATTTTAACACCTTTAAAAGTGTGCATTTTTACCTCTTTCCTTGGCCACAACTGTAAATAAAAGAGTAAAAACAAATGCACGCACCATTAAATTGTCAAGCGTTGTTTATTCAGCTATATTTTCTCTGCCATTCGTTTTTTTGTGGTTGGATGTATTTCTGTGTCTTATGGCAATTGGTTCTAAGCTGGATCTGAGCTCCGCAGTTACTTCTGGGCCTATGTGGCGTATATATCTTCCGTGTAGAGTTATTCATAAGAGTTGCCTTTAGGTGGTTAACGAATTAAAGCTATCGACTAATTTTGATTCTAGAGAAAAATTTAGCACACCGAGTTTTAAGTTTTGAAGAATTCCTTTGTTAGCTGTTATTGAGAAGCGAAAGTTAGGGAGAATAGGATAAACTTATGGGCTAGGCATTATGGTTGTACTGCTATTTGATGTGCCGGCAGAGATGGAACCGCATCCATTTCAAGGCCTTGTCGCTCATCGCCTCCGACTTGCGGGAATCGCCGCAGTCTGAGAGTCGGTGGCAGCCGGCGCAGTCTGCCGGAGATGGACGATAGCTGTCGGTGGTGATGCTGGTATTGGTGTTGTTTTTGGCGGTCGCGGCCATCTCCATTACCTCGGTGGTGCACTCGGTTATCTGCCCGGATTCACAGCCAGGTCACATGTCGCCCGCGCAGTCCCAGCGTATGTCGTCCGCCTCGTGGGTCAGGTACCGTCCGCCGCCCACTTGAGTCTCCAGGTTCCGGAGGTCGCGGTACGTCTGCTTGTCCTGCAGCCAGTAGTGCTGCAGGCTCTTGTCCACCGTGTACCTCTTGCGCTGCTTCACCTGCAGCAGGTTGTTGATCAGGTCGATGGCTGGGAGGGATTAATAGGTTATTCAGAGACTTTACTAGAGATTTCCATCACTTACCATTGGAGGAGATCTCTTTCCACGGATTGGGTGGATACATGAAGGCTGCGTTTTGTATTTGGTCATTGATGTCCTCCTCCTCGTTGAAGGGAAACGTGCCGCTCAAGCTCACGTAGATAATTACACCCACACTCCACATATCCAAGGATCTGTTGTAGCCCTTATTCCGGAGCACCTCGGGGGCAAGATAAGCCGGGGTACCGACCACCGATCGCCGGAAAGATTTCTCGCCGATGATGCGGGCATAGCCAAAATCGCAGAGCTTAACCTGCGGGAACTCGGCGTCCGAGGAGAGCAGCACATTCTCCGGCTTCAGATCGCAGTGGACTATATTCTGCGAGTGCAGGTACTTGAGGGCAATCAGGATCTGGGTGATCAGGAACTTGGTCACCCGCTCGCTCAAGCGACCCCTCGCATGTGAAAGGATCATCTCCAACATGTCGCCCTTGAGCTTCTCCATCACCACGAATATCCGTTCCGGCGTCTCGAACATTCGCTCCAAATTAACGACTCCGAAGTGCGCAATGTTCTGCAGGATGGCCACCTCGTTCTTCAGCTGTGCCTCCTGTTTGGTGGGGAAGCGCAGCTTATCGATCACCTTAATGGCCACTTCGCGCTGCGTCTTTTTATGCACGCCACCATAGACCACACCAAACTGTCCGGAGCCGAGCACTTCGTCTGGAAAGATCTGGTACAGTTGACCCATGTCCTGTACTTGCTCCTCCGACTCGCAGCATTCTAGAAAGGATAAAGATGTTTTTCGATATAATAATCAGTCTTAAGATTCTGGAATCCCACAGGAGCCAGGTCCTGTCTATTAGTGGTATCCACAATTACCCTACTCACGTGTGTTGTTAACGTGCATGAAGGCCTGCCGGATGCTGGTCTCCCAGCTCTTGGCGATGTCACTACCGATGCCACTATCCGGCGGCGGCAACCGCACGGCATGCTCCTCCTTGGCGCCCACCTGTGGATCCTGGCCCACGAAATAGCTTAGATTGGGCAGGCGCAACTCGAAGCAGTAATTGGATTCGGGTCTAGGATCTCCTCGATGGCTCTCGATGGACAGGAGCTCCGCCAGCGGCAGCTCCTTGTGGTACTTGCTGCCCTGTTCCGAGACGAAGAGCGTAATGGTCTTGGAGTCCAGTCGCCAGTAGTAGCGCTTTACGGCCTTGTCAAGCGAGGTGAAGTGCACCAGCCAGCCCTCCTTCAGGGCCTGACCACCACGCTTCTTGGTGTGCTTGACGGACTGGACGATTCTCATCAGCGGGATATTGGCACTGGGCGATGAGGAGGACGAGGACTGCGACTGCTCCGACTGGCCGTCACTCGACTTGCTGGTATCACCGCCCCCGCTGGAGTCGTCGCCCAGCGCTCCGTTTACCAGCTCCGGCGGTGAGTTCTGGGCATTGGTTAGGGCTTTGGGTGCTTCCCGGGGTCGTCCGGCCACCAGATTCACTGCGCCTGTCATGGCCGTTTTGTACTTCCCGTAGTCCGCCCCAGAGCCCGGACCCTCGTCGCAGTCACTGTCGTCGAACTCCTCGCGAAAGAAGTTGTCCCGCTCCTTGGCGCCCGCCTGGATCTGCAGCTGGCTCAGCTGCGCCTCGCCCGTGCAGTCGTGCGGCACCTTGTCCATGCACTTCTTGTGCGTGTTGTACTGACAGTCCCGGCACTGGAGCCCCTGCTTGAACAGGCCCTTTAGCAGTTTCTTGCACAGCTGGCACACTGTGGGAATGCCGTAGGTGTGAACCATAAAGGTGTGCGGGATTCGGAGTCCGGTCAGTCCGTTCCGGCTGCCGGACGAGTGGGTGCGCTGGTGGCGGCCAGGAATATTCTGAGAATTGAGCAGACGTAATTGACTTAATTAGAACATTTGGAGAGGCTCTGGATGTATGGATTGGGTTGGGTGTATGTCCCTGAGGCGAGGACACCATTAATGTCGCTAATTGGTTAAAACTAATTTTCATAATTTGGCAGTGTAAGCTTTGAACCCCAAACCCGGAAAGGTTCTGCTAATTACCTTAATGCCGTTCCCTAAATACAACAGATTTCAGGCTTAATATTAATTTACAAAAAAATATTAAAAGTAATGTAAATAAAGATGTTTTTAATAAATTGTAATAATAAAAAATTCTATAAATGCTCAATAACATTTTTTTTTTAAGGAATGATTGAATTTAAAATACTATCTTCCCATAGAATTCAAATGAATTACCTTTCACGATAAATTTAGCTTGTTAATAAGTTTAAATACAATTTAGAATAACTTTGTTATAAACTTTATCAATAAAGAAGATTAATGGATTGTCTAGTTTTAAATTTATTAGAAAGAAAACTCAACAAATTTTCTAAAACATAAATTACAATTTCAAGCTAAACTAAACCAATTTGCAATTCAAACTGAACATCTCAATCACCATTCATCAAACTTCAATAACAGCTATTATGCCCGTCAACTCATAATAAATCTAAGCAATTTCCAAGACACTTTTCCATTAAATTTCCTCCCGACTCCTTAAGAAACCCCTCTTAAAACCCCCTACGAGTATTTAAAAGAGTTTAATATGTGTGCACAGGATAAAAGTTTATTGAAAAAAGCATAAAAAAATAATACAAAGTAAAGCGTGGCGCCACGTTAAGTACAATTTTAAATACTCGTAGGATAGCCGGAAACTGTCAACCACCACCCTTACACAC